AGGTAAAAAGAAAGCTGCTTCTAGCACTATCATAGCGAATTGGATTCGCACTGTTTTGAAAGATGCGAATATAGATGCCTCTCCCGGAAGTGTTCGTTCAGCAGTAGCTTCTCGCGCTTGGCTAGATAATATTCCAATTCAGGATATTCTAGATCATGGAAATTGGAAATGTATCGAAACTTTCCGTAATCATTATTGCAAGGAAGTCCAGTGTATTAACCGAAATTCTACAAGTTTACTTTCAAGTAATTTTCATTGTGTTTGATAATCAAGTTTCAATTTATTTCTGTTAATAAAACCGAATTTTATTAACGATCCTTTAACGCAGTTTCATTGACTTACTATTGACATATTTTATTTAGTTTTTCACATAGCATTGAGTATTATCCAGTAGATAACAAACACGTCTCTCATAAGGATGCCGTGTACCCGGCCTATAGCATATATTAGTGTTTTGCATTATAACAAAACACGTATTATATGCGAGCCGGAACACGGCATCCTGGTAAGTATCTTACTGAATATGAGAAGACTATGAAGTTAGACGCATCCGCTGAGCGATGACGATCTTCTGGATTTTGGAATAAATAACGATCAAAGCGGTAAATTCAGGTAAAATAATCATGATTAAGGCGAAAGAATTCGATAGCTTCTCTCATAAGGATGCCGTGTTCCGGCTCGCATATAATACGTGTTTTGTTATAATGCAAAACACTAATATTTTATTTATTTCTACGATTTATTCAATCTTCAACAAATTGCAATACGTAATAAATAGATAGGTCGATGCGTTCAGGGTGGCTCTGATTATGAGTAGAAATGGGAAGTCCTTTCTTCTTTTCCGGTTTTCTTTTTCGTTGCTTTTTCACGTCTGACGTAGTAAAATGGTTCCATTTTTTTATGCTCGTTTGATAACCCGCAGTTGATAATCACGAGCTTACGGTGTCCATTATTATTTTTATGCTAAGAGCTTGCGTACATACATCTTTATAGCTTCTGTCGAGTTTGCACGTCTTCTCTAGGAAGGATCTCATATAATCAGTAAAATCAGTCACTATTTTTTATTTAATCTCAAGATGATTACGGAACGTTTCCAATGTGTTCACAGTTACAATCGCTCCGAGCTTACAATTACTATATAATGATCTGATTTCAGTTTCTATCGTTTTTCCACTTGTATAGTAAACCGGATGCAGGCACCCGTAGTTGGGATTTTCCTGCATAAGCAGAGCTGTGTAGCTGTCTTTCGACGCATCTGTGTACAACTCAGTTTATCTTACACTCATTTTTGTCAGTACTGGTACGTTCTTAATACCATCATTATCCTATCCGTACTTCTAATTGGTTTATTAGATTTTCAATAAATAATTGAATTTATCTCGGAACTAAGGGCGTTACGAAGCCAAGTTTCAAGTAAAAGTTGCTTATCTGTCATCCAATTTTGATGATTGTCACGACAAGTTTTACACGCTGCGGTAGCGATGGTCGAGTTATAAGGCGCGTGTGGGTACTTGCAGGAATCTAGGCGTCGAAGTCGGCAGTTATATAATAATACTTTTTATTATAAAGTGACAGAGCTCCAGAGAGATGTCTTTACAAGGCGAGATCGTGTACAGGACTGACTGCGCTTGTCCCTCTCGGGGGCTCACAAACTTAAGATAAGTCCCTACCACTTCCTTCAGGAATAAGTATATCCTGGGAACCGAGAGAGTCATATCGCTTAATTGTTTATTTAGATTTGCAGCTGTCTATGTTCTATTTCATTTCTGGTCTATCATGTATTTACCGCTTACAGTTTGTTTGTTTCGGCCTATCTTATGTCTTCTACTTCAGTCGGCCCGCGTGTGCAACGAATACGCGTGTATGACATATGTTCTTAGCTACAGGAGATAACTATATTATTTTATTATTAGTTTGCATGACATTATCATAGCAAAATACACAAATAGCTTCTCTGAGTTTTTTCGATATATTTATAATTTTAATTAAATTTACGACGCAATAAATCCATTCAGAATGAATCTTGATTTTCTACAAAAATATGGCAAATTCACGCTCTTATATTTTCTCCCTACATTTTTGCACCAATTTATATATAATTTTTGCTTTAATCAAAATTTTTTCAAAATGAAAAATGTATGTGATGAAATTTCGAATAAACCTTTGTATTAGAATTTTACTATGTATTATAAATGAAAACATTTATAGCCAATTGAACAATTATAGTACGTTAATGCATTGTATCTGACATTATTGACACGACTATATACTTTTATTATTTAAGCAATAGATAATTTTAATATATTTGAAGCTATAACAAGATTTATATAATAAACCCAACCTTCAAAAATATTACAAAGAATATCGCAGTTACTGCATCATGAAATCATCAGTAAGGGATTTCCGTTAAAAAATGATTATTCGAAATGTAATTCTAACACAAATGAAAATAAAAGCTTTTAGACAAAGTTATATTTCAACTGTTTTTACAGATGTAGAATATAAACTTTCCGTTTTTGTTAGTGTTTATAGACCAATAAAATCGACGTATCTCAAAAGTCTCTTATTTATTATTATATATTATTATTCAGAAAAATGTTTATTTTTTTTTATTTTACGGAAAAATGTTAACAGGTATATATTTGAGTCATAACGCTATTTGAAAATTTGCTATGCTCTCTTTTTCTTTCTTTCTCTCTTTCTCCTTTACATTATTTCATATTTTAAAGTGGATATTTCAAATCACTTTCAAAAGGTATTAATTTAAAATTTAATATTTCTATTTCAGTTGTCTTATCGATATAATTTATATTTTTCGACTGCATGCAAATTGTAGTGTAGGCAGAATCTCTACAAGTTACACACATTATGTGATTCTTGGAGTCCTTTCATAACTTCACTGACATATTTGACGCTCGCTCTACAACTTTACATTCTGCTATAAAAATTATTTCATCGTATTATACCTATACAAGAAATCTTGCAAATGCGCGCGCGCACACACATACATATACATACGAGATTCAATCTTGCACTAGCTTATATATTTAATTGCGATAATTTCATAGAAAATTGAGAAAGTAAATTAACAAAGAGATTGCTATAAAATTGAAATTATGAAACGTGAGCAAAAGCGCGTTTGTGGAGAGAATGTATACGTCGAGCAGCTACGCTAATAAATGTAGGTCTGATGACGTCACTGAGGCCCAACACTTTTGAAAAATCCAAGGAGAAGTAAGCGTCCTTCATCCCTTGATGAAACCGTGTGCAGTGACAGTGTTTGGAGGGCTGTGCAGTGCGCACTACAAGAATGTTGTCTAGCCAGTGACAATTCAAAACTGCGATATTTATATTTATAATTACGTGTGGCCATTTCTTATTTCTTGACAAAAATACCTTAATTCTTCCACAAGTTGATACATTGTTTTTCCAATACATTATTACATCGACGCGATGACCAGCATATAAATGCTCTAAATAGGATATTGTCGTTTTTAAAAGGCGTATCACTATCAATGAAAAAATAAACAGAAATAAGATTAAAAAAATAATTTCAAAGTGAACACTGTGTAAACAATGTTTAATTATTATTCGCTTAGCAGCTTTTTAAAATAATATTTAAAGAAGAGCGAGGCTCCTTTTTTTTTTAACTTTGTGATAAAATTCTCATGTATGAAATCAATTCCTGTAATAAAATGCTTTGCAAATTCGGCATCCCTAGAATCCATTATATTTTTCTAAATTGAAATATCACCATTTTCACATTTTCATTTGATTTTTAACCAATTATTTTTTTGTAAAAATGCCCTGTGAGTTAGGCGAAATTGCTACTCGGCGTGGCCCTTTTACATATCAGTTTCAACAATAACGAAAGATAATGCACTTTTTAAATACGGAAATTTGCAATTTTTGCATTACGAAACATTTATGTGTACAATGAATAAATTTATGTCAAATGCAGATTTTTACTTGGAAAGAGGATTATTGTAATTTTGGACTAAAAGTGACAGAAGCATGCAACGACTCGACAATTATTATGAATTCACATCAAACTCGTGATGATTTATACGCGTACTTTTTTGAAGCCTATAATTGTTTCAATAACAAATTACGGGAATATAGCAGGATTCATGTTATATTTGAAAAATATTCAAGGTTTAAGATATATAAATATGTTCTCATGTCCAGAGGAATTGCGCCCTTATAATAAGAGAGCTGTATTAATCGGAATGAGTTATTTTTAGGTATAACTGTTAATATTTAACGGTTATACGATCAAACCATATAAATTATTTGTGGAATTTTTAATAACTTAAATAAGTCCTAGAGTACTTAAGATTAATTAGTTATTGAAAAAATAACTCATTCCTACATGAGTTTATACAGCCAACGAAGATAGAAAGCTTAAGCATCTATTTTCGTTGATACAGTTTCTACAACGGTATTGTTAGGAAGGTATTGTCTATGTTAAAGTAGTTGATGTATGTACACATTACTGGATATTTGAAAAATAACCCATGCTTATGCCTTAATTATGTGCGCATGAGTGAATGATCTACTGATTTTTCTGGTGCATGTATCGCTATAATGAGAAATATTATTTATTTCTTTATAACGGATTGTTATAATAATATTTTGATTGGATAAAAAAATGGTGCGAGATTTTTGTTATTTTTGCAACGATTCAACACATTCATTTCTATAAAAACTGTATTAGAACGCTATACATAGATTCAATTTCTATTGATCTGCAAATGTTCAACTTTAGAAATTTTTTTATTGACGAAATCATAATTGAATTGAATTATTAATGACTAGCTATCTTTGCCAATCAGACGTAGTTTTTATATAATTTTTCCAGATTAATTTTCGTCGATTTCCCGCTCAGATTCATTATAGTTATATAGTTGGTTTTATTAATGTCAATGTGGTGCTCGCAGGTTGCTTGACTAGTGTAGTGACTATATATAGTATTTCCAGTCAGCTAGTATGTATGTATATAGCTGCGCTTTGACGCTAGTTCGTAATTAGTTGTTTGTATAAGAAGATTTGACATGTAACAGTATACTCGTATTATCAATCAACAACCTTTATCATATACACATTGTTGTCAGTTTTGCCATAAAATATAGTGTAAATAACTCAAATATAGGAATCGAGAAAATGGAAGAGGTAATGTATGAAAACAAAAAAATTAATTATCAATAAAACCGGCTGTCTTGTTCTCAAGTTGTTTTGTGTGAGAAATGAATTTTCAAGCAAGACATAACTTTTCTAGGACCTAAAATCTAAAACAGATCAAGCATGTAGGACTGCAGAAGATTTTATTAAATTATATTATGATAGTGTAGATAAACGTAGATATGTAAGTAATGTTATAATAAAATTGAATTGATACTTTTAAAGTATTTTGTACAATTTAAAATATTATCATTAACAGTTAATGTCAAGATTATATATGGATGATGCTACTTTGATTTGGAATGGTAACGGTGTTAAAGGAAAAGAGCAAATTCAAAGCTATTGGACAGAGTTGCCTGCAACGGATCATTCAGTGGTTTCTTTAGATGCACAGCCTATTATTGGTAAGATTATTGGTTAAATTCTATACAAAATTAACTAAAAATTATTAAAAAGGAAGTATAGAAAGCCTTACTTAATTTCAGCACCTTCTGTATCTGGACAATTATCATTTCTTGTTAGAGTTAGTGGCCAAGTAAAATACCAAGAGCAAGGCTTTTCAGTAAAGTCTTTTAATCAAATATTTTTAGTTACTGCAATGAAAGACAGGTGGAAAATAGTGAGTGATTGTTTTAGAACACAAGAAGCACTTGATAGTTGATTTAAAATTTTTCAAAAGTTAATTTATGTAAATGTCTTAGTGATAAATTGTTTTTTATATGCATACAATCTTAAAAATAATCAAATGTGCTAAGTTCTACAGTGCAAGAATAAAACTAACATGGTTGAATTTGATCAGTATTTTTATTTTCAATTCGATATCAATGTATAAAGCAATATTAAAATTTTGTATTAGCGAGTCAGTACGTTGGTTGATCGATCAGCGCCAAAGCATTCTGTTGAGAAAAATTAAAAAATAAATACAGATATAAATAATTCATAAAATTACTATAATACAATTACATAAACCGTCGATTTCGTATCCACCTTCGCCGATGCATATTTTGTATATTTTCCGAAGAGTGTGAATTTCTTAGTTTTTGATTACATGATTTACTTTATATAAAGAGCTCATGTTTTTGACTACAATAGTTTAAAAGGCGAAAGAGGCCGAAATGGGATTGGTGTCGTACTATCACAGATACTAAAGAAAAAAAACAAATAAAATCGGTCAACCCAAGGTTCGCAACGTAAAATACGCTAGTACATTACAGTTTAATAACAGGCAGTGCAAAGGAGGGAAATATTTCCTTTTACGTAAATGATTCTCATTAGTGAGTATATACTTGTTTGGCTCTATTCGATCCCGTTAGCACATAGAGCACATCTTGCATAAAACACTATTTCAAACAACTGCCCTTTCTGCTTCTGTCAGCATCAAGATAAGTAAAAAACAATAGACGTCATATAAATTTGTGTCTTATTCAAGATTTGATAATCTGGAAGAACATTACTGTTTTTTCACACGATTCATTACGCTTACGCTTTCTAAAATCACTGTTCAAATTTTTTTGAAAAACCTTTAAGTAGTAATTATACATTACTGATAATAACGAGAGAAAAAAGAAGAGAATAATTCATGCAAGCGTACAGTTACAATATAGTCGTCGCCCGACTCGATCTGTACAAATACAAAATCATTATATTGTCCCATAGTACACATAAAATGACTTAAACATATTTTGTCTTTATGATCTAAATCCAAGACTTGGCGCATGGTATACTAAGCGGTACTTGTGTTTTATTTATAAAACTCGAATGAATGGAGACGACGTACGATACTTTAAGCAGCTTGGGAGAATAAATAGTTTTGCATATTTCATGATTTTTTTGTTCTTTTCGCTATTTTGTGACTTTTTGTTTATAGTACTTTAACAATTATTCCCAATGAAAGCCACCATTATCGCAGTACATGAGTAGAGTTTGAAGTTTTGCTTTGTTACTTTTAGATTTTATTCGTAAGGGAAAGGCCGCTTTACATCGCGGTCCCATACATTTTCAGATAGGAGCATTCGACAGTACACACAAACATAGGAGCCGCGAAGACAGAATGACAACAAACTTCGCTACTTGTTCTTGTCTTAAAAAATCTCTAAACAATCTTCTCAGGCGCATCGGCTTTCATACATACGTGCACTCACTCGTTAATATCCAAATATACCAAATCCTACATCTCGCGTTTATTCTCATTCCCTAATATTTTCTTTTGTTCAATTAAAAATACCATTGAAGCAGTCTCTATGACGTAGTCTGAAAATTACGCGCTAGAAAACGGGTTTGCCTCATCATTTTTCGATCTCTTTATTCGAGCATCGTTTACTAATGACTTAGATCGATGGTTTTTTAATGTATATCTCTTACTTAAAAAATAATGTCTTTGAGTCGATCGTTTTCGATTACACATCGTTACACGTTAATAAGTTGCAAACCTCACTTGATAAAAATCTACGACGAAAAAGTTAAAAATATAAATGAAAAAAGCCCCACGAGGGATTATTAATCTGGTACTTTTGATTCTCGTACAGAGACTGGCGGAAGGACAGGCCAGAGCAGAGTAGGATAGAGCAGAGCAGGACAGGAAGGACTGAACAGGGCCTTATCTCTCACGCTTATCCGTTCGGAGTACTAAGATTTGGCCATCGCAGACTTGGCCCGGGCTCGCTCTTATCTCTGTACCACGTTGCTTACGTCCTTGATCGTGTTTTGCAGGTCGGTGAGCAACCTCGTATTTTCGCTGATGTTGCGGGTACCGGCTGCCCTCAACTGCCGCGCCTGCAGTTCTAGCCGTGAAAGCACGTCCCGGAACTGGAATTTAGCGTGGGACGGTATCGTCGCTTCTTGCGCGTAGTTAGCGCACATGCCGTGTAGCAGGCCCACCTTGTCGGACAGCTGCAGCCAGCTGGCCATCACGATGTTTGGGCTGCCCTTGAGATTGACGATGCTGTTCTCAATCACGTTCGAGATCTCTAGGATATTATGCTTGCTGCTACTGCTGCTGGTGCTGCTGGTGCTGCTGGTGCTGCTAGTGCTACTGTTGCTGTTATTGCTACTACTGCCCTTCGAACCAGGTTCAGAACTCTGCTTGGCTATTGTTTGCTGTTGCACTTCGTCCTCGGTTCCAAGCTTCACATGGCAGTTGGGAGTGGCGTAAATTGACGAACCAAAGTGCTTACTGGAGATGGGTTTGGGTGGTTTGGCTGGCACCACGGGCTTCTCGTTATCCGCGTTGGCAGGCGGCCACTGCACGCGACTCTCGCTTTTGGAGCTTCGGGTCGAGGCTCCACTGAATTCCTCCGGCGAGTCCTCGCTTGGCTCGCCGGGAGTCTCTTGCTTGCCACTAGGCGGTCGACTCCCGAGCTTTGGACTTGTAGGTACGGTCTGAGCGTTCGCGTCGCTGCCGCCAGCGGCCGACTCCTTATTCTCCCAAAGCTTCTTGAGACTACTTATACTACCAGTACTGCGCCGTTTATCGTCCGATTGCTCGTCGGCTGACTGGCAATCCAGCGAGTCACTCATTCGCTCGTCGTCCGATTTTTTGGCACCTGTCGCTTGGCTACTGCTGCCGCCGGCGCTCGGCGGTTTCTCCTCCACGCAGCTTGTAGACTTGTCTATGGCGTTGTCGACCTTCCGGAGCCGCGACTTGAAGTCGATTATTTGGTTTTCCGAACTGTCCTCCTTGGCCGGAGGTGGGTTGACTCTTCTCTCGACTTTCTTCAGCTTGAAGTTGAGAGTACCCGAGTCGGCCATCGGCGACGCCTCCTTTGGCTCCTGATGAGGCACGATGTTGACTATCGCGTACTCGTTCTGCTGTGGCGGCTTGCCGGCGGCGTCGACATTGAAGGTGGCGCAGAGTTCAGACAGTAACTGCGAGGCGGGATCAAGTGGAGGGAGACTGCTGCTCGGCAGGTTGCTCTTACGCAACGTGCCGGTGGGTTTGCTCTCGCAACTCTGCTTGATCTCGTTGATGAGCTTGAGCTCAAGCATTTCCTTCATGCCCGGCTTCGAGGAGAACGAACCCAGGCTCTGCTCGGTACCAGCAAGCTCGTCCTCCTCGGGTGGCGGTGGTGGCGGCGGATCGAGGAATGACGGCAGCTCACTTTGCGGTGACGTTTGGCCACAGGCGTCGGCCGTGCGACGCTCACTCGACTTGTCGCGCCTGCGCAAGTTGACACCGAACCGCGAGCTGGCCTCCATGACCGACGGCTCGGCCGTCTGCAGATCGGCGCCATTGCTGCGGGTCTCGTCGTCGTTAGGCTGTTCGGGCTCCTCCCGCGAGCGCCTTTCCGGCTTGGTGGCCTTCCTGAGCGCGCACGGCGACAGTGAGCCGGCGGCGTTCCTTGAGGGCGAGACAGAAGTCGGCACCAGCAGGTCGCACTGGTCGCCGGAGCTCAGCAGCTCGGTGGGTGGCGGCGGTAGGTCCAGCGGCGGCGGCGGAAACTCCAGATCGGCGAGGCTTGGCTGGGCCGGTCTTGGCGGACTGGCTGCACGGAACGTGGAGATGTTGGCCGGTGGGGCGCGGAAGGTGCGCAGGTTATCACCGACCTCAGACTGCTGCTTGCGTGCAGCACGGCTTCGCGGCGAATTGGGCGGGTGGTAGTTCCCAACCACGCCGCTCGATGAGTTGCTGCGCGTCATTTGAGCTGGCTGATGCTGCTGCTGGCTGCGCAAGCTGCTCTGCCGCGGCGACAACGATCGGTGCTGCTGCAGTACCTCGCTCAGGCTTATGGTCTCGGCACTGGGCTGTTGTTCGCAAAGCGACGGCGAGACTGGCGAGTTGGCGCCGCCGCCGACCTGTTCTTGGTTCGAGGGGATACCACTCTGGCGCAGAGATTCGAGGTAGGCGCCGATACGCGCATTCTTTGGCAACGTTCCGTAACGATGTATGGCTTTCTTAACATTTTGCACCTCTAAGGCTCCCACATGGACCAGCTGCAACATTAAAATGCATACAATCAATGAGTGCAAATTTACTGCTATTTATCATGGAAATTAGATAATTTATAAGCTAACAGTGAATGACAGTTACAAACTCGGACAGAGATTTAATAAATTGTATAATTGGTTGAATTTTTCTCTTGTCAATATTTAACAATTTCATAAGACAAGATTAACAAGAGATACAGCACAATGCATATGTGGTGTTCGTCAACAATTAACACAATCAAATGGATTCCAGTGAAACTTCATCGTTGATAACTAATGTTCAAAAATACGGTATAAAGTGTCATGTTGACAGAAGTAATCAAGTTTGAAAGCATTTCCCAGATCTGGATGAAATGTTTCATCATAAGATGTATATGTCTGTGCGTAGTAGAAATCCTTTGCGTACTCATACAAAAGTTATGTACAACGCAAGCTTCGTCGTATCAAAATGCAAATTGAGTCATTCAAAAAAAATATAATAATGACAAACAAAAATCATAAAAATAACACTAGCATTCAAGCAGTGTCGTAAGCATAGAAAATTCCGCATGGTGAATGCAATATGTTATTTAAAAATCTCATGTCAATCGCAGAGTGTAATAACGTCGAAGAGCTTGATTACAAGAAGGCAAATTGTTTCGGCAAAGCACAAGCAGCAGCGGCAACGGTAAGTAGTAGCATCGGCAGACACAATCGTAGAAAAGAGCATGACTGAATTAGCCTTGTTGCGAGTCGACTGAGCCTATATTTTTTGTGATAAAAGATACGAGAGGTAGGGAATACCTTCTGTGGCAGCGCATCCTTAGAAGTGTGAGTGCGTGTTTTTAATTTGTTATGGTTGGCTAGTGGTTCTGGCGAAGTGGACGGGGGCTGGGCGACGAAACTTGGCTCTGTTGTCGGCTGGGAGCTACCGTCGCCCCCCTCATGCTCCAACTCCCAGCCAGCGCTCGGCTGCCCGGACATCGTCACGATTTCACGTGTCACCCCTAAATCCGTCGTTTTAATTTCATCAGCATGATTAGCTTCTTTACGTTCATTTGTCTCTCTTGCCAATTAATTTATTAATCGTCACACGTTTTCATGGTATTCTCGTTAGTATTTTTAACTTGGTGGCTTAGATTTACATAGACAGAGACGACCGTATGATCCAAAAGTTCAATTTTTTAATCAATCACCATCAACTTGGAATGATAAAGTTTCAAAGAAAAAACTTCATTTGAAAGTACGAAAATTCACGAAATTATTAAACAGCTTCACACTAAGTAAAATATTCAAAATATTATATTTAAGCATATTCAAAGTAAAATAATTTAGGAAACACTCATCAAAATGCAACCAATGTTATTCGTAGAATTTTGATGTGCAATAAATTAATTACTGTATCATTCAAGTGTTCTTCCAATGAACTTTGGAATACCAGAAATGCTAATTATTAAATTCCAAAACCATTTAATTGATATACCCACATACATCATGAATTGACAGTTAAAAGTGTTATTAGGAGCTTATTTTCAAGACTGAGAATCTTCAAATAAAGTTATTAGAAATGTACCGGTAACTAAAACGAAATAAACTGAAAGTTGCCGTAATAAATTCTTAATTTAAATGATTTCTCAGTCCTGCAATAATTTCGGTTAAAAGTCAAATACTCGTGTACGGGACGGGTCATTCTCGAAGTGACATTACGACGTGAATGATGGTTTTTTACGACAAGTGAAGTTCTGCGTGATGATGATTTATTCTAAGAAGCGTGAACGCCAAAGTCCTAAGATAAAATGATAGATAAAACAAATGACGATGAGATGATGGTGACGATGACAATGAATAGATGAGCTTTGTTAGTGACATTACAAAAACACTGCTTGAATGTTATAAAATTAAAAGTGAAGCATGATTATGATTAGAAATTTTTCAACATTACCGATCCAGACATCTACTTGATGAAATTAATATACTTTTTATTATAACGGCTTACAAGATAAATTGATCATGTATTTTACAAGGGTATGTTAACAATGAAATTCAATATATTTTTTAAAGAAAGCAATATTGTCTAAATTGCTATTCTATTACAGGATTCGAGTGTGAACTACATGTATCGATTTTGTTTATTTCTCCATGACATATGAAATTTTGTAATATAAAAATATTATTTACACCAACATCTTCATACAGGGTGACTGAATAACAGGTCTATTCTAAACCGATTTGCATGCTTATTTTATTTACATTTAGTATTTACGAAAAGGGTTATCCAGATAGGTAGTTTCATGTCTGGATCGAATCAATTGAATAAACTCATAATACATTATAAAAATAATTCTACTGGTTAAAAGTTTCAATATTGCACGGAATTTTAATTTGCGTAATCATCAATTATTCATGCAGCGAATCAGCATACGATGAAAAACTTATTTTTAATAACAGAGCTGGGGGGGGGGGGGGCGGAGAATGACCCACATATATTGGAAGCATGGATGTTTCACGAGTATTACAATGCATAATGAAGAATTTATTAGTTTAATGAATATGTTAAAACATTAATGAAGATGAAACGGATGTTAATGAAGATGGAACGGATGTGAAAGGATACAAAATTTCAAGACAGGGCGTGCAAAAATATACCATTAGGTATGAATTATTCGTATGACGAATTACCTTGAAATATCTTGTCAATACCATTTAGATCATTGCCATCATGCAAGGCTACGTTTTGGATTTCAGTGTTTTGATGATCTTGATCCTGGTATGCGGAATCTCGAAAAGAACTGCATGACGATAAAAGGCTATAAAAAGAACATAATTCGTTAGGATGTCTGCTTAAAACTTAAATTACTCAATCTTTAAAAATTACCTTGTACGTTTGGGTGGAGCTGGCGCCTGTTTACCTTTTTTGTTCGTTGAACGTCTCATTTGTACCATACTGTTATTACCTTTGTTTGAATGGCCTCCCAAAAAGGTACTAAGCTTTGTGACTGAACTTGTAGATTCTACAAAATATTATATAAAATTATAAATGAATAATTATAAATAAAATAATTCTTACCTTGAGTGCTACTAGAAGTATGTTGTTCGGCAGCAAGTACCAACCCGTGAATATTTCCGGAACTACCAGTTTGTGACTTATTGTAAGATAAAAGTTGTACTTGACCCCCACTACCTTGTAACTGTTTTTCAACCTCTGCAAATAAACGTCTGTTTAATTTCGAATATGATTGTATAACAACTGATGGAAAGCTTATGAGTTTACCTTCTGTTATACTTGATTCTTGAAACATATTTTCCAAGGAATGGTGAATTTCTTTAAATGACGGTCTATCTGCCGCAGACCACTGCCAACATTGTCGCATCAGGTCATATACTTTCGGTGGACAACCGGGAGGACATTCCATTCGATAGCCTTTTTCAAGCATATGATACACATCAGTTAAATCCACTCCAGGGTAAGGAGACATGCCATACGTCGCAATTTCCCATAGTAAAATACCAAACGCCCACACATCAGACTAAAAATTAAAAAAATTAAATTCAATGTTAAGTTGCACGAATTTATGCTTTCTGCTGTCATACGTAAAAGAATGCTAGGCAAACCTTTGTAGAAAATTTATTGTATGCCAATCCTTCAGGAGCAGTCCATTTGATTGGAAATTTGGCACCGGCGTGAGCTGTATATGTATCATCTCTCATGAGACGAGCTAATCCAAAATCAGCTACTTTAACAAGATGACTTTCTCCTACAAGGCAGTTCCTTGCAGCTAAATCTCTGTAAAACAAACATATAGTAGCATGATAACTTAAAAAAAAAACAATAAGGTTCATATTCATCGAGATGCAAGCAGAAAACAATGCATTACCTATGAATGAAATTCCGACTTTCAAGATAGCTCATTCCACTTGCGATTTGTGTTGCCATATACATTAAAACTACAGCATTGATTTGGTGCTTGCTTTCATTACGTAAATAATCTAGCAAATTCCCTTTACTCATAAATTCCGTTATGATATAAAAAGGTGGCTCCCTTGTACATACACCTATCAATTGTACTAAATTCCTGTGTTTCATCTCCTTCATAATAGCTGCTTCTTCTAAGAAGTCTTTTAATGCCATAGTATCCTCCTACACAAAAAAATATTATAGTTTTAAATGGGTCAATCGCCGTAGATTTGAATAACAAATCCAATTAGTAACCTTAAGAGTTTTTACTGCAACCGTCATATTGTATCTTTTCCATACAGCTTCATATACATCACCATACTGTCCTCCACCTAACTTATGTCTCATTACAATATCGGTTCTGTTAATCTCCCACTCATCAGGTTCTATAAAATTGAATTTTTTTCTTAATGTTGAAATAACATCTCCATGGCTGGAGTAATTATTAAAAAAAAATGAACAAAAATATACCTGGGCTAAGAGGAAAAACTGTTGGTTTGTTACGCTTTGGTGCTGGATATAAAAGCTGAGTAATGAGACCATCTGCTAACATAGAATGATGATGGACCAATTCCGCTAGCGTATTAAAAATGCTCTCGGTAGTCACGTACATCTGCAATTGATACGTCATGTTATTTCTTCTTTTTTTACGATGATATTCATACATCAAAGCCATAAAATTAGAGTTGATGTTCGTAATTTTATACTTTTCAAATTTATCTTTGCTTATATACCTTTCCATCGCTATCTTCATTAATTCTATAATGATACACGCGTCCTTCGTATCTTAAAGAAATACTGCGCTGCCCTGGACTACTTTCTGATTCACGAACGAGAAAGCTTCCATTGATACCGGAACTGAGTAAATATTCTGCAGCATTTCTCGATATTCTGCCATGATACCACGAATGCTTTTCTAGAGAGTTAACTGGAGTCACGTAATTTGATGGCACCCAACCAACTTGGCCACTACTTGAATGAGCTTCGCACCATTCACCACTTTTGTTATAACTTAATATACGAACTTGTTCACCTATTGCAGAAAATTGAAAATTAAAACCCTTTTTTTATTTTCCAAATATTTGCAATGTATATTCCACTTTGAAAAAAGATGTACCCTTTTTTAAACCTAGTTGATTTTCCCCACCAGCTTGAAAGTCATACAAAGCAACAAAAAGTTGTGGATCATCCTCTTCTTGAGCTAGCAGATTTTCTTTGCTGGTCCATCTGAAGAAAAGTATAGTGATTAGTGCTAATGACTTTATTTTTCTGTAAATAAGTATATAACAAAATACTATTAAAACAAACCTATTTGCAGCTTCCAAAAGGCCACTATTTGACACTGAAACATGTTGATCTAAACTAGATTGCTGAGAAATAGATTGAATACTAGTACCACTAGGTGGGTCACCCTCAGGTAGTGCTGGTATGTGAGGGAGTGGTCTGCTTTGGAGTAATGCTTCTAGATATAAGAAGTCATAAATAATTCATTTTAGATATTATAATATTGATAAAAGTATTAAGGAAAGAATGTAGTTTTTAATGTTTCTCTGAGTATTCATTACTTAGCTAGTTTTTTAATTAGGTAACTTAATTGTTTATGTTTTAAATCTATTTTTTCTTGGATTAATAATCACAGTTGCACAATAATTGTAATTCTATTTGTTAAAGCATTTTATAGCTTACCTATATAGAAACTCTTTCCTTGATGAACACTTTACAGATCAATAATCATAGATATAAAAACTTGTTTCTAAGTTACTAAGAAGAAAAGCTAAAGAACTAAGACTATAGAATTCATGTTTAGCATACTGATTTCTAATTACATGCGCATTGAACAGGGAAACTGGAAGAACAATATGAAAAGGAAAATACTTTAAGTGACACCTGCGGAGGAAGCATGTATGTATAATTAATTTTTCAGCTAAATATAATTTAAAGCTATGCTATCAAAATATTAATGTTATCCAAATATTATTAATCCAATGCTGAACTATCAGAAGAGTATTTTCAGAAATATTTAGGGTATATCATTTAACCGATAAAAGTGAAAGCAACAATATGAGCTATGTAATGGTTAGTGAAGAATGAATGTTTATGAGTTAAGAAAACATAAAAAAAGATGAATTGCTATTGGTCATGGCCTGCTTAAGCTACAGTTGTATAGCCAACAAAGATACACTGTGCTTGAAGAAATTTGAAGTAGTCAATTGAACCAAGCACTAAGATATCAATCAAATTGAATTAAGTTTACTAGGCAATTATTGATTTATTAGATATGCAATTTTGATTCTGAACTGAAATTTACAGCAGAGTAGCTAATTAGATTGATTAAATGAATTTAAATTTGGTATAAGTACAAAGAATAACAAAAATATACATTGCAAAGTGAAACTCACCAAAGTGACAATAATAATAATAACAATAATAAAAATGATACGATTATAAAAGGCATTAGGTTGAGAATCAATCAGTGGCTGCGAAAATGATATTCAATCAGTGAGAGATGAAGTAGTGTAGGTATCAAATGAAAGAAGCGAGGCGATATGCTGGAGTCATAGGCGAAAGGGAGTGTAATACCGCTATGCTCAGTGAAGATGTTGGAGCCCATAGTCCGTGCATCCTTGGGATTCCTGGGTTGTTTCCTTGTCTGCCTGACGACAGTCCCGGGTGGGATGACACGGTCCTTGGTTTGTTGGGCGCCCATAGTTGGTCGCCGATTAGCATTCCCCCGAACGCATCAAAGATAAAATGTGGGAGAGAAAGAGGAAAGCCACAGCCAGCTAGCAAAGTGGGCAGCAGCAAGCGATGCCGAAGCTCAGGGCTTGATCAGAACAGCAGCAGCCCGGATGACGGCGACGAACTTGTGCGGACAGGCACAGTACACACACACTCTCTCTTTTTCTCTTTCTCTCTTTCTCTCTTTCTCTCTTTCTTTCTCTCTCTCTCTCTCTCTCTCACACAGAGACAGCCCGTCCACTCGACGGGATCACATATTGCGGCCGCGCTAGAAAATCGCCCCGGCACTGCACACAGACACTCGGCACACACGCACTGCAGACACTGGCCAAGCCCGTACAAAGTTCCTGATATCTCTGTTCGTTAAAGCTCTGTGTCAATGGGCAAGCAACCACGACGACGAAGGTGGCTGCAGCAGCAGAACCACGACGAGCCGCTGCATACTGTTCTCTCTCTCTCTCGCCCCTCGCTCGCTGCTCACTCTCTCTCTTTCTCTCTCTCAGTAATAGTGGTGCGGTTGCGACCTAGCGCTGTACCAACTGCTGCTCCTGCTGGCATTCGCCATATTTGACAGCTCTCTCTCTCTCTCTCTCTTTCGCTCTTTTTGTCTTGCGCTCTCGCTCGCTCGCTCGCTCGCGCCTGCCTTTGACGTCGATTATTTAGTTGCTGGGGGAATTGTTGAGCGGCAGCACGATATTGGTCTCCTCTGACTGCTGACATCGTCGTCGGTCGTCGCCATCGCCGCGCCGCATAGTCACGTTGCACTTTCAAATGTGTAATCCGTAGCTTCTGTACATGCGGCGGCTACGTTTTATATGCAAGCTACATGTACATACATAGAAAGAGCCCGGCAGGATATGTCTTTCCTTTCTCTTTATTTTTTTTTTGCGTTTGATCTCTCTTGCGAACGTGCTATGGCTATAGCTCACAGCTGCTGCTCGTCTAGGTACATAAAGTGCGGTTTTGTCCTCCCCGTATTATATATCTTTCTCTCTCACGTGCGCACACTGCAGCTGTACATGGCTACATGCATCACATGTAACAATCTGCAAGAGAGAGCGTTTTTTCTCACGCTCACCTGCAATTTTTCCTTTATATACAACATTACCAGCATATACTTATATTATAATGTAGCCGCGACATTATTATAAGTCGGTGCATTGACCTGTTTACAACTCTCGCAATAGCTTTAAATACATTGTTATAAATACGTACCGTTAAATTATGAAGATATAGTGTTGTAAAACAAACCTTGTAAAACAATAGTAATAAGTTGTAAAACTTGTTTCTGATTTGAAAAAGAAATTATTATTTCTAGATTTTAACTTTTGTTAAATTGAAAGTGGAGATAATCAATTTTTATCTTAAATTACTCTATTAAACTCTACATACATTAGAGTTGATCGATATCTATTAATACTGACCATAATATAGAATCAATTCACCATGCTATTGCATATCATCACTTAGAAAACGCGTCTGATTTAAAAAAAATATTTTTCTCAAAATAACGCTATAAAACTGAATATATTCATAAATTATAAAGTTTTAGTTCATTAAAAAAACAAACTTCAAATATCGGTTGAAGTAGAAGAAGTAATTCATTATAATATTATTCTAGGATTTTCTTGTGTTTATCTTAAATAACTTAAGTGGGCAGCATATTTATCACGATTGACTATATTTCCGATCTATAGTACGGAGCTTAAAATTAAAAAATTTCAATAAAAATCACATTTGACTTTGCACATCTACAAACTGCACATATTACAAAATTTTTTTACAATAGCAAAGTACAAATATTCATAAAATTGTATTTAGTTATTTGAAAGATAATAAGTAAAAGCAGCTCATTAATCTTTTTTTTTATTTTTTTTTTATTTGCGGCGTAATAATCAGACTATGTATCTTTTAGAGTTATTTTATAATTGTATTATCAGATATTTTCAAACATAACGCTAGCTATTCAATCACTATTTGTGGATATTCTTTTTACGTTGAACTAAATATTTTCTAAAGTTGCAAAAATGTAGACGAGGTTTCCAGAAGTGTATGAAGTTTGACGGCGTATTTTTTTCTTTGTTTTTACTCGTAATGAGCAAAAATTCAAAGAAAAAGAGTTGTGATGGTTCACGAGATCTCACAATATTGTTAAAAGTGAATATTTTGGAGGAAAGAAATTAGAATAGCTATCTGATAAAGTTTGGGTCAAAAAATAGATATGATGGTGAAAGAAGTGGAAGTAGTTCCCACAAGGCCTTAAAAATTCAACAGGTCACAAGTCAACTGGACCTACAAAACATAAATCACCATTTATAAAACATCTGAACCAAGTGGATCAGAAATCACAATTACCAAATTTTCAGGAGAAATATATTGATTCTAAAATGTATAAGTTCTTGTGCCAGTAGACTGATTTATTTATACAATAACTAAGAATATACTATTTCGACATTCCGTGCTCAAAGTATGACTTTGGCGTACACTTAGTTAAAACATGCGGGTAAAGTCAAACTTTGCATACATCGTATCAAAAAATACCGTACGATACATGTATGTTATATTTTTTACGACCCTCGCTCCACTCGAGTGTATAAGTACTACACGAGACAAGAATCTACTTTCCCGCACTTACATTGTAATGTATACTATTTTAGTTATCTTACATGTTATAAAGTTAAATAACTTCATAGACAATAAGCATTTTATGATTGCAAATTGAAGAATTGTTATTTTATTCATCTTTCTAAATGTCTACTTAGATTCTATTGATCTATAAAACGCTTATATTAATCTCACTTCGATTTGCTTAAAAAGCTGAAAATGTGCTTTTATATATATATATATATATATATATATATATATATTTTTTTTTTTTTTTTTAATAGTATTTAGTATGAATTTGTTTATTTATAACTTGGGTAGTGCTTATTTTTATTTTACAAAAATTATGAGAATTTTTATCTGTTATTTAAAAAAAGTTGTAGCACTCCAGCCGCATATAATAAGGTGTTATTTTTTGTATAGAGAGCTAAAAAGAAAACGATAAACATAACATCATGATAACTATAAGAATTCTTAAATGGCTAACTTTCGTAGTTAGTTATTATGATTTATTTATTAACCAATTTTGCTATTACTATGTAGTAAAGTCTTGCACTGGTACCTATACGCAGTAAATATAAGAGAAAATAAAACCGACACAATATAAGTAAATAAGATTAAACTGAAACAATGTACAATATCTAAATTTATGCCAATGTTAGTGGCTCTACCGTGTTTAATACGTTCATTTCCAGTAGATTATGTATATTGTTCTTTAATAAGCTTTTAACAATTGGTTTTTTTTTATTTTTACCGACTGTAAATGTCAGACCTTTCATATTACTGATAAACTGATAAATTATAATAGCAACATAGATTTGATTTCTACTGGTTAATGTTTTATGTGTTTTGTGCATAATTATTTTGTATCTTGTTATTTTTGCATTAGCACTATATTCAACGACCAAATTATTTCGATTTTTCATTACAACTTCCAGTGGAAATTGCTCCTTGATGGATAGTAGAAAAGGGAGATTCTTTAATTGTTTACGTAACATTTGAATTAGTTTGTTCTATATTGTTAATATACCACTTAATTTATTACCATAAGCTTCGTCCCAAGCAATATGCTACAAGTGGTTACACTCAGAAATAATGCACGTAATACATTGTTGTCAATAGCGCCTTAAAATCCACGTTTTGCTAGCTTCAACATTAGATAAACAAAATATTTGGTTTTCTGCGTAATATATTCTGAGTGATGTTTCCCACTTGAGTCTAGAATCACTACCCCCAGATACTATTATGTTTTGACTATTTTGAAGACATTTATCGATAAACGATTTGATGCCATCCAGTCGTTAACCATACTCAGGTAGTTATTCAACTTTGGTTCAAAACTTAACTATAGTTTTGTTCCGATCAAATAATAATAGTGTCACCAGCATAAGACGATATTGTATTTTCCCGCGATATATTAAGTAAATCATTAATGTATATTATGAATATAGCTCAGTGGTTCAAGAATGGTTGCTTGCGGTACGTCAAGTAATATATTGAACGTTTTACTTTCAGCTGCTTGATACTTAACGTATTGTTTTCGATCCGTTAAGTAACTCCTAAACATCTTATTTACAAGCCTCTAATTCCATATCATTCCAGCTTTACAAGTAATACTTCATGGCTGTCAGTGTTAAATACCTTGGCTAGATTCAGGAAAACAGCAATTAACGATCGTGATTAAATATGCAAATCAATTTTTCAAATATTTTAGCAACATTTGAGATTAATGATGTATGTCTGTTAATTAGTTGACAGTGTTTTATCTCCAGATTTGAGTATAGGTACTATTTTTGCTATTTTCAGTGTAGAAGGCATCAAGGTTGCTTTATATATGTGTGCGCACGCGCGCGCGCGTGTGTGTGTGTGTGTGTACAAATGACAAATGTACTCTAAAAGTATACTTATATATACATCCAACATCTTTAGTATTGATTTGTGTAGAACTGCCATCAATGCCGCCTGCTTTACTTTTTAAAGTTTGAATTGTTTTTTATATTTTTATTGTATGGTATATTGGAAATATTACAAGTACATATTGTTTTTAAGTCTCCGAAGCAGATTTGACGTTTGTATGGTATCACTTTTAATTTTTTCTACTAATTTTATATATTGCTGAAAACATCGTTAAATGATTCAGCAATTTCTCCTGGTATTTTGAATATTTACGATTGTTTTTTATTGATTGTACCTTTTTATCTCGTTCGATTTTCTATTTAATTTGCCATTGATATATTTCTATATATTTTTACCGTTATTTTTGGGCCCATTAAATGGGCTATTTCATCTGATTTGGACGTCTTTTATTATTCTATTCAAAATTTTTTTATGTTTTTTGTACTCTTTTGTTAATCATCGATGCCTTACGCCAAATCTCATATAGTTGTTCTTTTTTCTTTACGAGAAATAATGATACCTTTAGTGATCCAAATTTAAACGGGTCTTTTATTTTAGTTCTGCTTGAAATTATTGAAGTTTCTTAAATTATGATGGTTTTAATTATATTGCTTAATAATACTGATAGAAAGATATGTGAGCGTACCCTAATGTATATAGCTAGATTTATAGAAGGGATTTTAAACTTAAGACCATGTAAGCCCAAATGCCGTACTATAGTCACGTAGCTTTATAGTTAGATTATATTTAGAAAGAGTATAATAATGTTTCTGACTAAATATTCTGGTAGCTTGAGGGGCAGCTAAACAGCATAAACTATTTAAAAACTCAATATTAACAATATCAAAAAAGATTCAGATTATTTATTGATAATGCTCACAGAGTCGACATAAAAAGTCAGATCTAGCTAGACTACGACTGTATTTGTAAATTACTAAAATTCAAAGCGAAGCCTATTATCGGTTAAAAATGATAGGCCTCTTACTTTCCGAGTGTGTAGTTCTGCAAAAAATAAGGATATAGAAAAAATAGCGTTAAAGCTTTTCGTTTTGCGCGTCAATTAGTTTGTCAGCGGTGAGACTAACTTAATTAGTAAAGTTATAACATCGATTAGAAGCAAAAAAACACGGAATTTTGAGCTACTTTTTATGAGGGCAACTTCAAAGACCTGCCCTTCTATCAAAAATGAATAGAATATCGCGAAACAAATTCAGCGTGTAATTTGAAGTTTTCTCAATGCAATTGATAAATAATTATGAAAAATTATTAATTAATTTATTTAGAAAGTCTAATCTTAAAAAAAAATTCTCTTTTCAATGGCTTATTCGATTGAATTTGGACTTGGTATAAATTATTAAGTAATGATTAAACATTATGATTTTCAATGATCTTGTGAATAAATTTTTTAAGCATTTAAAGGCGAACCTGCTAAAGTTTTCAATTAATTTCAATCGAAGTCTTGCTTTCTACGTTTGAGTTGTTATATAAACACAAAATAAGTTCGAGTGCAACGTAATACCAACAGTAGCTTATTTCTTTCGTTAGTAATCATTCGAAATACTTTCTTTGAAGAAATAGTGTGGTGCGAATGCAGTTACGTGTATGACATAAAAAATGTAACTTTTCGTTAAGCAATTATTATAGTGTAAATTTGATTAAATCACTAGATTGTTATGAAATCAAAATAGCTGTTAATAAGTTATATGGAAAATATTCTAAAATATTGTACAAATACTGTCCGATATTAAAATGTTATAAAATTACGGTAGTTCATAATAGATTTACATGAAAATGGACTATGTAAAATTTAATATTACGTTGGGCTACACCAAATTAAAAAAAATAAAGAATCAAAGTTGGCAAAAACGCGTTTTTTGATTTTGCAAACCATGGTATTAATCTTCGATGAAAAAATTTTAAATACGAATTCTAAAAAATTGAGAAAGCTACAATTTGAGTCATTGTACGATGATGTTCGTTTATTGGTTATTGTAACAAGCACCAATAAACTTTGAAAATGGTCAAACCACATATCAAATATTTACTGTAAAAATAATATTTTTTTCATTCGTATTGCTCTTAAGAGAAAGTTATTATGATTAAAAAAAATGTTTCCTTATATTTTTCAAAATATTAATTAGTTGTAGATATATTCGTATTAGTTATGTAAAAAATGCTAATACTATGTGGCTTTAATTTTTTTTCGAGGTTGACATCTTTCCTCGGCTTACCGATCAACTATGCGCTTCTTCTGCGGTACCTAATAATGGTATCCATTTTGATACATAAGAGTGACAGCATGTTGGTCAGTAACATCTCAAACGTTTGAGAGATTCTATCAAATACTTATTATCTTAAACGAATTTGAATTTACTAAAGTTTAGGGTGTCATTTAAAATAAACATTTAAAAAAATAGAAATTGTTTGATATTCTAAAAAATTACAGTATGTAAAATGCGAGAAAGCGAGAATGTATAGTGTCATTGATAACAAAATGAAATTACCTGTTTATGAAGTTGGCATATAATTAAGTAGTCTTCGCTATATATTGTTCCTCACCCATGATTTCTTTCTCATTTTCTTTCAGGCCCTCGCCACATATGCGCATACGCGCGCGTACGAGGGCGTACAAACGCGTACAAATCGCTAAAAATTTTGATAGTGCCAACAGAAAGTTACTACTATTCCTCGCATGCCCCAAACGAACACACTTACTCCCGGAACAAACGTATCATAACGCTATGATAACGCTAAGGTTATGATACGTTTGTCCCGGGAGTAAATGTGTTCGTTTGGGGCATGCGTGGAATAGTAGTAACTTTCTGTTGTTGGCACTATCAAAATTTTAGCGATTTGTACGCGTTTGTACGCCCTCGTACGCGCGCGTATGTGGCGAGGGTCTCATAATCATAATTTCCTGTGGTAATTCGTTATTAACCCAGATTCATTACACTGAAATAAGCAACGAGGCGTGTGGTGGATATCTAGTCGATAGCTTTTCGATTAAATACTACAAGGGGATCAGCCGGTGAATAGTAAAAATTAACGTTTTCTTTGTGAGTATATAAAATTCGTCCTAATGAAGATATTGTCATGAAACCTTCTATGTCTTGTAGGACTTGGTATAAACTTTCATTTTTTTGCTTGTAAGTTCCAAAATCTTATTTATCGGCCCTAGAATGTTTCTTGAATCGTAATATTTTATTTGTTGAAAAAATTGACTTTACCACGTCTTTAATTCTGAACGTTAGAATGAATGAAAATCATTTTGGCAGAGTTCGTTGTTAATGTTAGGACCTGTGCTATAAAATGAGTGGAATTGATTTTCAAAAAAAATATTTTTTTATATTTTTTGACCAGCTTTTTGAATTTTATTAAGAAAAAACAATTCATAATTTAGGGAGAACAAGTTGACAAACGTGTTTTATGCCCATCAACGAATAGTTCTACCTGCTCTTTCACGAGCATGTTATGGTAAATTTTCAGTTAAATTCTTTTATCATTCAATTTTAAGTGTAAATGTTTGCGAATAATTTCGATATCTAAATATAGTTTATCATTATACTACTCAGATGAAGAACTAAATGAAAAAGTGTATTTTAATTCAGACGCATATCTGATGCATTGAGATGAACTTCAATTAGTTGATACATACGTATGATCTACTTTTCTAATTAATTTTTTAGATTCAAACTTTGTTAGACACTAGTTAGACAATTTTAGTGTTATTTTTGAATTTCAAATATTTAATCTATTCTACAAGTATATATTATAATATAAAACATTGTAGAGTGCGATGTGTATGGCGAGGTGTGTCATTGTATAATACCGAAAATGTCAAACAGCATGTAGCCATAAACTGATTCATATTATATATTTATGTGAAAATCTTTGTTTTTTAAATAAAAGTGTCATAGACAGAATTTCTTTATTTACTGAAGAACAAAAGAGAATAAATGCAGCACCCATGTTGACAAACGCGCTTACTCGCCGGCATCGAGCTCCTTTATAGTAATGCCGCGTTTTTGTTTATACGTATCATTTTGTGTCCCTAGATTATAACAGTCGAAGTTTTTTAGTAGATAAAAGTTGAAAGAACTTTATTGCAGTGTACGAATCTATCATATTTTATAGGTTATTTTCTTATTTCAAAATACTAACGACGGTATTCACGAAATATCTTGTAGATTTTGTAGATAAAACTTAATTAGATTTTTCTTAACTGTTCGTTTGTTTCGGAACGGTCGAGATATATAAAAATAGCTACTATTGTCTTATTTTATGGTATTTGAGATACAGAAAGTAAGAATTTTAGAAATGTCGGCAAATATAGACAATGACGATTATATTTTGCAAGAAATACGCATGAAAGTAGTACATCTCTCCATTTTTTACAAATTATTATTTTTGTCTGGTAAATAATTTATCTTATGTTTATTTTTAAGTATGCAGAAGACTTTGAAGAAATATTAGAATGCCCAGTATGCTTAGAAATACCAAATGGTGAAGTATCCATGTGTATCACTGGTCACCACTTGTGTTGCAAGTGCAAAGATTTACTTTTAGCAATTGGAAGCAATTGTCCTATTTGCGAAGCTACTTTTAGTACCAGCAGAAATTTCACAGTTGAAAAATTGTGTCAGAAATTTGAAGACATAAGAGTAAGCTGTAAATTATTCCTCCTAGATCTAGTTTTTAATATAAATGAAAAGAATTATAAAGAATATAACTTTTTTTATAGAGTTCTATTTTAGATCCAAGACATTCTTCTAACCGAAAAGTTATAAAAAACAAAACATCTGTATATGTCCAAACAGATGAAATTTTAAGTAACAAAAATATTTTGACTGAAAACAATAATATGGATTCTAAGGAAAAAGATTCTTTGATTATTAACACAAATAATAACATGACAACTTTATCATAAGTGCTTTCAAAATACAGGAGATGTAGTATGGTAATGTAATAAACATTTTTAAATTATGACAAATAATTATACAGTAAACTCTCCATTTTTTATTAAGTAAATTAAATTTGATTAATTTTGTAAGAGTGACCTAAAGAAATATTACTCCACAATTCTTCATAATATTTTGCTGATAACATTTTTTGTCTTTTTAGATTTTTAAAAGAATGATATGAAATAGATGGTTGCACAAATAAAATTAAGAATTTGGACCATACATTTTTGGTCAGTGATCAATATTCCATTGTATAGATAAGAGAAAGAGATTTCTAATTTTTAAATTATCCATTTCAATTATTCAAGTTTAAAACTGTAAAAATGTAAAATGGTATGTAATGTTATAAATGTAAAAAATTGTGTTTTATATTTGCATTAGTTTTTATATAAAATTCCTGTAATTCTATTTTATGTAATTTCATGATCATTCTTAAGAACTTTAATTTTGTAATTATGTTGATAAAATGCTATTACAAAATTAGAGAAAAATAAGTAGCAGTAAAATAACATTATTATAGAAATATTATTGAAAAAAAAGTGTATAATAATTTTGTGTTATATAAATATGTTACTATGATGCAAAATAATTTATTGTTTAACATATAAACGTAAACCAACTATAATAAAAGTATGAATTCAAGTTAAAGAAGAGATGCAGACATTTGATGTACAGCTTAATGAAATTGTAACTAAATCACTTATTTATTAGTTTGAAAAATTGCCTACTAAATCTACCTACAATTAACCTCAAAATTATTCGACCGAACTTCAAATTGATATTGAAGCCAATTCAAATTTCGCCAGTTGTGGCGCGAGTGGATACCACGTGATACAGAAGCTCGGCTTGGCTTGGCTTTTCTATAGAGAGGAGGATCGAGGTGGCATCTTTTTGTATAGCTCTGCACTCTCTTGGCGCGGGAAGTGATGAACCGTTGTGAGTTGCGAGCTCTTTTGCGTGCTTCGTTCAAAAGACTTCGTGTCATGTGCCTTCGTGTTATACCGCATGAAAAAATAAGCTTGTGTATGTAAATGCACTAGTGGCGGCCTCAAAGTACATACATACATATTTTACATATATACGTGTGCTAGCGTGAGAGACAGACTCAAGAAATAGAGAGAAAGAGTGCGTGCGTGTGTTCGTGTGCGCGTGCTATTCCGCGGAAGAAGGTTTTGGACTTCGGATAGAGAGACAGAGTCCGCGGTTTCTGGTGGTGTGTCTTCGAGATCTCAGGACGCGCGCCAGCCGCAGCAGAAAGTGCCACCATGGATCCACGTAAATTGACTGATCTGCTCAGGGCGACGATTGACCCAAGCCAACAAAAACAGGCTGAAGAACAGCTCAACCAGGTACTCGTTCCGTCGATCATAACCCACACGTTCTCAGTTCGCCTAGAGAAAAACGTGCTCGCCAGCCATGCGGACACGACAAGTGCCTGGCTTCTTCGCGTATACTCGCGATCTTGACCTTCGTTTTTCGAGATTCGTGTCCTCGTTGATCACGTTCCGCGAGTTCGACTTTTTTCATGCTACTCCAACAAATTTTCTTTTCATTCGTGTAAAAACCTAGCTGTACTGGTGATTCGTCTTTCTTACGTTAATTTTCAATTTTAGATCCACAAGATCATTGGCTTTGCTCCAGGCTTGCTACAAGTGATTATGTCCAATGAAGTTGAGATGCCTGTGAGACAAGCAGGTAAATTAAACTTCATTTCAGTCCCTATCTCAAAGTGGCATTTCTTTATAGCTGTCATATAACTGGCTCCATTCTAGGTGCTATCTACTTGAAAAATTTTATCATCTCTAATTGGGCTGATCGAGAAGCTGAAAATGCAGCTGTGCCGTTTAGCATTCATGAACAGGACAGAGCGATGATTCGTGATGCCATTGTCGATGCATGTGTTCACGCTCCTGAATTAATTCGGTAGATCAATAGAAACATATTTGCCAATTTTTTAAATTTGAATCTGATTTTTAATTTTTTTTATTATTTTCCATATGTATAGAGTTCAGTTAGCTGTATGTATCAGCAATATTGTAAAACATGACTTCCCTGGGAGGTGGACACAAATTGTTGATAAAATCACTATATATCTTCAAAATCCTGATGCTTCTTGTTGGCCTGGTGTTTTATTAGCTCTATATCAATTTGTAAAAAACTTTGAGTAGGTTTCAATGGTTTTCATAGAATTTTAATTACTTTATTTTAGTTTATACAATGACCAATCCACTTTAATCTACAGATACAAAAAAGCAGAAGAAAGAGGACCACTTCATGAGGCTATGAATCTTTTATTACCCATGATTCACCAACTGATATTGAGGCTTTTACCTGATCCATCTGAACAATCTGTTCTTCTACAAAAGCAAATACTTAAAATATTTTTTGCTTTAACTCAGTACACTTTACCTCTTGATCTTATTTCTAAACCACTTTTTACTCAATGGATGGACGTCGTACGACAGGTAGCTGATAGACCTGTTCCACCAGAGACTAATGATCCTGATCTTGACGATGAAGAACGATCAGAACTACCATGGTGGAAGTGTAAAAAATGGGCACTTCATATATTGCAAAGAATGTTTGAAAGGTATACGGTAGTTCAATGAAGTGAAAATGTATATCATTGCTGATTGCAAATTTTACTGAAAAAATTATTAATTTGCAGATATGGCAGTCCTGGCTCTGTAAGCAAAGAATATAAGGAGTTTGCAGAATGGTATTTGCAAACATTTAGTGGAGGCATACTTGAAGTTTTACTTAAAATTTTGGACCAGTATCGCAGAAAATGTTACATTTCACCACGTGTTCTACAGCAGTCTATCAATTATATCGATCAAGGGTAATTTTATTTTATCTATTATTTCAAAAATGATTTACGTGAAAATATTTTTACAAAAAGAATTTCATTACAGAGTTCGTCACGCATATTCCTGGAAATTTTTAAAACCTCACATGTTTGAAATAATTAGAGACGTTCTATTTCCAATTTTGTCTTATTCAGCAGCTGATGAAGAACTGTGGAACTCTGATCCCTACGAATATATACGAGTTAAATTTGGTATATTACACATTTAAACAAAATAGATTTGTTTTTATTATAAAATTTTATATAATAACGAGTTGTTTTTATTTAACAGATATTTTTGAAGATTTTGTATCACCTGTAACTGCTGCTCAAACTTTATTGCATTCAGCTTGTAAAAAACGAAAAGATATGTTGCAGAAGACAATGCAATTTTGTGTTGAAGTTTTAACAAGTCAAAATACTGATCCAAGACAGAAAGATGGAGCTTTACATATGGTAAAGTTAATTTAGTGTGTGATTTTATGTTGTATAAAACAAAAATATTAATTTGAATATATTTACAAAGATTGGAACATTGGCTGATGTTTTGTTGAAAAAGAATATTTACAAAGAACAAATGGATAAAATGTTGTTACAATATGTATTCCCTGAATTCAATAGCCCTCATGGCCACATGAGAACTAGGGTATGTAAATGGAATCGGAAAGTATTTTTAAATTTGTAATAAGAAATTGTTTAATACAATGTTCATTTTACAGGCTTGCTGGGTGTTGCACTACTTTGCTGGAATAAAGTTCAAGCAGGACAACATTTTAATTGAAGCAGTCAAGCTTACCACAACCGCTCTTTTAAATGATGCAGAACTCCCTGTCAAAGTCGAGGCGGCAATTGCTTTGCAAAGTTTACTCCAAAATCAAGAGAAGGCACAAAAGATCATTGAGCCTTGGATTAAGCCAATCACATTGGAGCTTTTGAATATCATTAGACTGACTGAAAATGATGATCTGACAACAGTCATGCAAAAAATTGTATGCTGTTATCCCGAACAGCTTACCCCAATTGCTGTTGAGATGTGTCAGCATTTAGCTTCCACTTTCAGTCAGGTCTTAGAAACTGACGAAGGTAGCGATGAAAAGGCTATTACAGCAATGGGTTTGTTGAATACTATCGAAACTCTACTCTCTGTAATGGAGGATCAGCCAGGAATAATGGATCAATTGCAACCAATAGTTTTACAAGTTATTGCTCACATATTTAATCACAGTGTCTTGGGTAAGTCGCAGTTAATAATCGAATTAATTGAACAATAAATATATTCATTTGTTATTTTGTGTTATTTCAGAATTTTATGAAGAGGCTTTATCGCTTGTGTATGATTTGACAGGCAAAAGGATATCACAAGACATGTGGAAAGTTTTAGAGTTAATGTATGAACTTTTCCAAAAAGATGGCTTTGATTATTTTACCGATATGATGCCAGCTCTACATAATTATATTACTGTAGACACACCCGCGTTCTTATCTAATGAAAATCACATCTTAGCAATGTTCAATATGTGTAAAGCTGTTCTCATAGGTGACGCTGGCGAAGATCCTGAGTGTCACGCCGCTAAACTTCTCGAAGTTATCATTCTTCAATGTAAAGGACACATTGATAATTGTATACCACCTCTCATACAGTTAGTGTTAGAACGTTTGACAAGGGAGGTAAAAACTTCCGAACTTAGGACAATGTGTCTACAAGTAGTCATAGCAGCTTTATACTACAATCCAACATTGTGTCTCGAAACTATGGATAGACTCCAGGGCACTTTAGGACAGTCAACTGATCCAATTGCTTCGCATTTTATTAAGCAGTGGATTCATGATACAGACTGCTTCCTTGGGTACATATCAAACAATTGATCAAACTTTAATTTTTCAATTTGAACTATGATTACCAATTTTAACTTGCAGGCTTCATGATCGAAAACTTTGTGTTTTTGGTTTGTGCACGCTCATAAGTATGGGTCCAGCAAGACCAGCAGCAGTTAATGAGTGTGCACAACAAATAATCCCATCCTTAATTCTTCTCTTTGATGGTCTCAAGAGAGCATATGCCGCCAAAGTAGCAGTCAGTGAAGATGAAGACAACGATGAAGAAGAAAGTGATCTTGAAGAAGGTAAGAAAATTTTTAAATACATCTAAAAATTTGAGTCCATTTCATATTTACAGTAAATCATTCTTGTTTATTTTTGAAGTTCTCTCATCGGATGAGGATGAGATTGATGACGCTAGTCAAGATTATTTGGAAAGACTAGAAGAAAAGGTGCTGAAATCTCAACAAGGTCATATGTTTTCTGTCGTGAATTCAGCGCAACAGCCTGGGCAAGGTGAGCATAGATCAGATGATGATGATGATGAAGATTCTGAGTATGAAGCCAATGAAGAAACGGCTCTGGAAAGTTACGTTACTCCTCTTGATTCAGAAGATACGAATCAAGATGAATACATTGTTTTCAAAGAAGTCATGCAGAGTAAGCATTTTTTTAAAGCTATTTATAAAAAATTTTTATTAAATACCGAAAATTAGTTACCAATGATATAATAATATTGCAGATATTGAGAGGACAGAAACACCGTGGTATAATGCACTTACGAGTCATTTGACACAAGAACAACAAGCATCTTTAGCAGATATTATTTTGTTGGCTGATCAACGTAAAGCAGCTTTGGAGAGCAAGCGAATTGAGCAGAGTGGAGGCAAGTATTATTGCTGAATCCTATTGATGTTTAGGCTTGCTAAGTGTATTCACTTTGAATTAATGAATACGTATCACTGTATTATAGGTTATGCTTTCACATCGCAGACTGTACCTACTACCTTTAATTTCGGTGGAAAACCTGCATTCGGTCGGTAAAAAACTATAAACGTTTATAATGTAATGTAATTAAAAAAAATTGTAAGGTATGCGAATCGAATGTTCGTAGCACGCGATTGCAAATTGACGACCTCCAAAACAGTAATGCATTTCCTACTTACTATTTTTCTGTAAATTAAATGTACATTAGTAAGGTGATCGGACGAATTTGTATACATACATAGAAAATCATGTCGACATTTTAATCCAAATACGTGGCTCTTGCACTGTCGATTGGTCATATCGACCAGTACCAAATAAACTTCCATCGCTAGGCGATGCTATGTAACCAGTTACATAAAGTTAAATAGCAAATATTTGGACTCTAAAGCCATAATTTATCGCGGATAGTGAAATAAAAAGCAAGGCGTGTGATGATCTTTGGCCAAGTTAAATTTCTAATAAACTTTGCCCCGCATCGTTGAATCAGACTTTAAAAATAGACAACGAAGATCATCTTTGAATTAATTGGGGCTTTTACTATGCAATGTTCTAGTGATGTTTTTACTGCAACTCTTAAGGAGAAAATGAATAAACACTGAACTTTCTCTATATTTGTTAAAAAAATGGTAAATAAGGAATATGTTAAATTGTTGATGTAAAATATATTCAAACTTAATTTTTTAAAAGCAACTAACAATATTTTTTTTTATATATATAAAGCCTCCTCCATAAACAGGTGTAATTTGTGCAAGAAATTTTCTCAATCTGCGATAATTATAATCAGTAGGTAGGATCAGAATGCTCGATATAGTTACTGTCTAGTTGATACTTTAATAATCAATATCGCTATTGCTGAAAACCTGCACAATACTTAGTCCTTCCATAATCAATAATGAATTTTATATTATAACAAAGATTGCTTTTGACTGGTTCTCTTATTTTTTCTATTGGGAAAAGGATGCAGTGCAGTTTCAATAAATTTATTTTTCTGAAAAATGTTTTACAGTAGTATAAATTTCGCACTGCTCCTTCTTCCAAAGGTGCATAAAAAGATGTGTTAAATACATAAATTAATAAAGATAATAAGTGTGTATATGTTTGAAAAAAATGAATCAGTGGCAGTATATGTACAAGTGAGTATTCTATGCTGTGATTGTAAAATAGAAATCTCTTTGTACTAATAATTTCTTACACAAATGTTGATAGCTGAGAATCTGAACTCGTTTTTTATTAGCGTGATCGCTGTGAGTGTAAAATTACCTATACGTGCTCTTTTTGCTTTTCGCAAAAAATTAAATACAAAATCAAACACTGGTTGAAAAGGTTGAGTCAATAAAATTTTTTTTACACTGTAGAAAAACTTATTAGTGAACTTTAAAAGTGCCTTGAAAGGAATTTGAAGCTGGAACTTTATTAAAAGATTAGTGTTTCCTACTGTACATTGGACCGAGGTTGGGACACTTCTCTAGTTTGTAAGTCCCAAAAAATAAGTAATAAAATAACAACATAACATTTTTGAATACTGAGAAATAGTTAGAACAAAATGATGTTTTCTTAATTTTTTCACAAGCAAAAATCGGAATCGGGAAGAAGTTCTTGTTTACACGCGCCATTTTTGTAATAATTATGAATAATATCAAGATTTGTTTGAGTTTATCAAATGTTGATCTGGAGATGCAAACTGGAGGTAAGATAAAATATGGCCATAGTGATGCTTCGATATAAAAACCGAAGTTTTTAAAAACTCCTTTGATATTATGATTATTATTAAAATTATTATTAAATTAAATTGATACACAATTATAAATATTTTTCATTTTATTTCGTATTGTTTCCAAATCCCATGTTACTTTTAGAAATAATTAAAACGTTATTTAGTGGTAAACATTTCTTTTTTATTTTATCTGGTTAGAATGATAATTCTACATGTTTCATGAGTATGAGTTAGATTTATGCAGAACATTTCACTTAAAGGCAGAAGAAATACAAGACTTTCATACAATAGCATTAAGAAGTGAAAATAAGTTTATTTAAATATAAATTTAGGAAAGATGTTAATGTTTACTGCCTTTATAAATAAATTAGTTTATTGAAAAATAATATTGCTTAATTTTAACTGAACGAAAATTGCAACACATGGTATTCACTCCATAAGTTATAAACAAATCCGCACATATAACCATATGTATGACAATGTAAATCCTTTATTAATTCTGCAAATCTTATTGAAAAAAACATGTTTTTGTTATTGTACGCGATCAAGGGAATACCAATATAAATGATCTAATAGGGTGACTGGCCTAGTGAGAATTAAATCAAGGTAAAAGAACTTTTATAGAACAAAAAAATAAACTCTGAGACAAATAAATAGGATTAAGTATCGTAAAAACGGTTTACATGCTCCAAAAAGTACAAAACCCTAGCAGATGGATGGTTAATCTCAAACTAAAATTTGTTTGGCTTGTGTACATTTATTTTACAATAGAAAGAACTAAGTTGTATACTTTTGCAAGCATTATTTTCATAAAATATTAAACTCAAGCCGTTTTCCGACTTATTCATTCCACTACTGACTACTGATATTCGTGTCTCTATTAGACCAGTCATCTTCGAAATTCTTTTAATCTGTTTTCAAATTGCGAATGATTGAAATTACTTAAGCTATTCAAGCGAACTTCATGTACATCGTTTCTACGTCTGTCGTTTCCTCCGCATCACTCTTACAATAATCTACACGAGGGCTCGGCCACAATTTACGTAGTTTAATTAAAGTACTATATATAATTTAGATGATACAGTGAATTTATTATTAGCCAAAAGCATAAAATACTTGATGAATTAGATGTTTGGAGGCTTGGCAAGACGTAAAGAACGTAAGTATGTAAAAAGTGGACACACAGGCAACAGCGAATATACTACGCCGTCCTGCATTTCTCCAATATTTCATTATTTTCCCTCTGATCGTGAGTCTTTGTGATGGCGCGCATATTTTCGGCAATAAGGGAACAGTATATCACTTGAGACACCGCTGAAAATAAATTGCTCCCACGTAACCACCCCTCATTGCTTTGCCTACGTTTTGTTCGAATACCCGACGATTATTTTGTAATACTTCAGCAGCATCTTTATTCAAAGGATCCTCTGGATTTGGTTCCTAAAACAAAAGAAAAATTGTTAATATCAGTATTTTTAGATAAAGCACTGAACTCTAAATATTATTTACAGATATTTAAAAATTCTATTACAGGATTAAGAAATGGAGTTCAATTTTTCCCAAAACATGAAAGTATTTTTAAATATAGTTTTCAAAATTTTACAAAAGAACATATATTTATATATTGTTGAAAAGTAACATTTTTTTTGTTGTTTAATGCTTGACTAGTTTCAAAATTATCATTTGAAATATTTATAGAATTATTTTGTATTAATATATATATATCACTAATTTTCTTTTGTCTTAAAGATTAATAACAACTGTTAAATCATTTTGTAAATAAAACTTATAATACAGTATCCTTAAATGTTAAATTTAGATGAAGGTATATACTTATGAGTTAACAGTTTACAAGTTTCATCAACGTCACTTGTAACTTTGTTTATAATTATTGATAATAATAGACATCCATATTTTGAGATAATCTTACCAAAAACAGGTACTGTAATCCATAAACAATTGAGTTAATAGTAAGAACTGGTTTCCAGTCTTCCCTTAAAATATTTAGGCATACATTGCCATCTAAGTCAATATTTGGATGATAGACTTGAGTTTCACACTTAACCTTAGGTGGTTCGTGTGGATAATTTGGTCCAACCTTAAAACTAAATGTGAATTTTCCGTTTTTGTAAAATCCCTACAAAGATAAAGCTACCTTCAATTAATTGTACTTGTACAAGAAATATTTAACAAATTAAAACTAACCTCATCTGGACAGATAACAAGTTTAAAGTTTAACAGATCATCCGGGTCTGGAAACTCTGTGTTGCATGTTTTTGGTAAATTCAATTCAGTGATATCTATAATCAAATAACAAAGATCTTTGTAAACATAGTTTTTATTTTTTTATTTGCAGACATCATAAGGAGTAAAGTTAACAAGTATGGTGCAATGAACAGGTTTGACACAACAAAATGTTTAGAAGAATTATACAATATTTTACCTTTTTGAATTCTAAGTTGAGCAGCAGATGCTTTCTTTTGTGATCCGGCTTTAGGAGATTCTCCATTCTTACCAGCATTTTTTAAGGAGAATAATTTAATCATGGTAGGACTATAATCGTGTACTTTACGAAGGCATATAAATATTCAATATGCGGAACACGAAGTTGAACTGATAATTAGTTGATCACACAAATAAATTTCTGAATTTCTTTTGAAAAATGAATAAGTTGCACTTGTAATACTAACAATCACAGTCGTCAATGTTCACTAATAGTGAAATACCAAACGGATCTTGGATCAGGAAAGATGAGTTTGGACAACGAAATGAGGGAAAATTGAGTTCAGTAACGATGGAAAGAGAAAAAGAAAGGGATAGAGACAGAAGAAGAAAAAGAGAGAAGAAGAAATGTATTGTGTGAGATCACAAATGAGCAGTTAGTTAAAGTCGAAGTGAGTATCTTTGAGAAACGGCTGTGATAGGAACAGTACAGAACGTGCGACAGCAGATTTCGAGGAATAAGTAACTCGTGTTAGTTGTATTGGTGTCCGTGGCCTATGTGGATCAGCGCGCGCACATGCAAACAATCTGTTCCGATTTCTTATTTTAAGTTAAGCATTGCGCATGCGATGCGTAGCGGGTGATACGCAGTATACGCAATTTTGCTTTGAATGTTATTCTTTTGTATTTTGGAGTTTTTATTAAATACCAATGTTTCATAAGTTCATAAGGTCCATGTCTATAAAGTTCTATAACATTTTCGAAATCCACATTATCTGTCACATTAGAAATATAATATAAAATCATTGCAATATTCGGATTTATAGAAACTCTCTAAACGACGTTTATAACATGATTTTAACTATATTTGACAGAAATTCGAAATTAAATACACTAAATAAATTATTAATCGTTAGGTAGATAGGCCCTAGTGCTAGTAACCGTTTATAAAATAAAGACGATTTCACGATACATTGGATCTCGACTTTTTCATTCATTAAATTTATAACATTTTACAATATCAATAGTCAAGCATTATTGCAAAACGCAAACTAGTGTTGGATCAAGATGGCCTATTACTGGTGAAATATCGTTTTATTCTCGATTTCAATTATTTTATTCTATACCGAGTACAATTAAAAATAAAATTGTAAAAAATTAGATTAGATTAGATAGATAAAATATTTTTTCTATGATTTTTCATTTTTTTTTAAATTTTTTGTATTAGTTTAAACTAAATATCTTTAATTTATTCTCATAACATAAAATCTCGTATATCTATATTGGAATTTCAAGTATATTGATTTGTGACTGTTCATAAAAGCTATAAAGTGACAGCACCTTTATATACAAATATCTTTTTAAGTTCACAAAATAACATACACAACAATTTTTCATGAAAGTACTAGTCTCGATAAATTTATAGAACTATTTTATTTGTTTCAAATTAAATAAAATCCAGTTTTAATTACGCATATTTAACAGAGCTCGATAATTCTAATTCAGATTACGCGATGTACATTTTTTCTAAAATAAAAATAATCATGAAGTATCTGAATTTTCACAAAATTTTGTAAAAGGTTCAATGCCCATGGACCAGGTGATTTTTTCGTTTGTAATTACGGTGACTTCTGGATTGCCGTTGTAAGTATTGGAAGTACTCAGTAATCCACCAAAGCTTGTATGAATATTATCTATGAATCGAATTATATAATAATAAATTTTATTAAGTGATTGAAAAAAACAACGTCATCTATACTATACCTAAATTCCATTTCAAGCCTGTGGTGCGGATATCACTAGTAGACGTACCAAAAGGTATAAGAGAGCACCAAGTTTGACGAGCTATCAGCGCATCGGGAATATGTATTTTATGTTTACCTGGTTTTAAAACCCATGTCATAGAATTACTGGAAATTTGTATCACCTGTACACGTATTTTTTTTATTTATCAGAGCTGCTTGATAGAACAATTTTGAAACAAAATTTTTTCGTCTTGTAAGTTCATTTTTTATAAACAAACCTTTTGATTTAAAAAAACGATTTTAATTTTCATTAATTGCTACAATATACCTGTATGTGTGGATTCAAGATACTATCAGTCTTGTAAAGTGTGTTGATATTACTTATGATGTGATCAAATCGACCAGACGTGTCAACAAAAACGTAAATATGATCCAACTGTAAAATAAAAACTGTAGATATAAATTTCACATGTAAAACAATTTTCAATCTGAGTGTTGAAATTACATGAATATTATTTTTAGTAATATATAGGTGCAATTGCATAAGGGCTTTTGTAAAATCTGTGTCGGACTGGTCCGGCGTATGCAAAACGATAGCATCAGTTTTTTCCATCTGCTTCAAAAGCTCCGGACAAATACTGTCCATGTCACCTATATAAACAATTTGAGTTGACTTGTACTTAATAAAAACGTCAGATTCCAGTTTCATTCCATGAAATTTCATCGGATTTTTTGAATGAATTCAATTCTTTGTAAAAATATAGAATGTAAAAAATGAATACACGCCTGTCACAAGTGTTGGAACATAATCCTTGCATTTTCCTCTAAATAGACTGTTCTTTTGTTGTTCTCCTAGATAATTTATCCAATGATTTGTTCCACCATCAACTGTTACCGTTACTTGTGCTGAAATCAATGTTTTTCGATAGAGAATTGGTTCAAATAGTAATCGATAATACATTTTTTACATGTGGTAAAATTTGTCAAATTTCTTTCTATAAAAGGGATAAAAAATAATGCAAGGTTTTTAATTACACAATTGTTTTTTTTTTCATTCGCTTGATATTTCCATTTTCTAAAACTTAACGAGTGAGGTCGTATAAAACATGTCGCGCTTCTATATGCTATCGTCACGTTTGTTAATACTATAGTAATAGTAAATAAGATAAATACTAATCACTGAATTCAATTCAAGATGTGTTAAGAGATGCGATAAATTGATAGTACCAGGCAGTAAATATTACCTTTTTTCCATAGAGGAAGTACAATGTCATAACCTAAGTTTATCGGATTGTTTAGAATAATCACTGCATGATTGAATTGGGCTGGGCAGCAAAATATGTTCAACGGATTCCACACTTCAAATTTTAATTCATTATGGTTTTGCATCACAAATGTTGCACCTCTCATTCCATTATTATAAAATACAAACTCAAATAGTTGAGACACGTTATAGGTTAGAAATTTAATGAATCAATAATCTTAAGTTATCACAGTTCGGTCAAAGAAAACGTTAATACTTTGATACTGAGATAACAAATGGCAATCGTCAACTTATTGTTGACTTATTGTGAAAATAATCAAGTATTGATTGTCAAGGAATTGTAAAATGTAAACACCCTTGTAAACTGAAGAATGTTCGAAAATACGTACGTTTCTAAATAATGTACACATACAACATATAGCAACCATAGACATATAAAGGATAGACTGCTGATATCAGGTTATGAAATTGTCCGCGAGAGTGAGAGAGATAGCAACAAATAGCAGGAAACTTCTGTTTCTTTCTAGTCGACGCTTATTGGCTGTTGCCGTGCATACGCCTACGCGTTCTTTGACTAGCGAGGTCAACGCATGCGTTTTGGCATATCGGAGTCTCAGCTTTAAGAGACCCACCGCCATCTAATAAAGTAAAAGTAAAGTAAAAGTTCTTTGACTAGCGAATTTGAACTAAGATTCATAATAAAAATTAATTAATTTTATCAATATACCAAAAATCAATTTTACTGTTTTCTAAATAAAGGTAAGTGCTATAAATATAAGAAAATCACTTGAATTCCTGTACATTATTTTATTGTTCACATGCTAAACAATAACAATTACTGTTTTAATTCTTTACAATATCACAGGGGGCCTATTCTGAAAAAAAATTTTAGCACGGGGCCTATTCTGAAAAAAAATTTTAGCACATGTCATAAGCATTTATCACATCTAAAGTGATTAATTCTGTGGTAAACTGAAGTGACAAACTGATTTACCACAAAATTTTTTTTCAGAATAGGCCCCCAGGCAGCCATTTGAATCTTCTATATAGTTGAGTGTCGAAATTATTATTCAAATCAGATATTGTCAAATTATTCTCGTCCTTCATTCTTACAAGAGAATTACTCTTTACATGGTGATTATCTAAATTTTTCTTTTAAAAAGGTAAACAGTACAAACACAGACACAGGCACACACACACACAGTTTCACATATAAATTTAAAAAGATATATTCAGAGAATACTAGAAGTTTTTAGATTACTGTCCTTCAAATTTCGTGAAATTATTATTTCTTTTTCTTATTCGAACTTTAATATCAAGCATGGGTGTTGCTTCATATGCAATCTTGTTTGAAAATATTGATTCAAAACTAATTTTACTAGTTGATTGTGATGGCCGCTCAATGGTTCTTCTTCAAGTACGTGTTCGTATTTTAAAAACAATGAGTTCATAGGAAGCGCGCGAAGAGTTTGTATTATTAATTTTTCTTTTAAATATTTTGGAGATAACGAGGCTTGAGTTCGTAATACTTTCTCGGCAATCTTATTGATCAAAATTACGTCTTTAGAAGCCGACACTAATTTTCCATAAACTTTTCGGCGTTGAAGAACAGAAATAGCTTCCTCATGAGTCTCTGTTTTCAAACTTTTTCAAACACAAACCGCATTTTACTTTATTTTCAATCATTTTTACAACATCTTCACTGACATATGCTATTATTTCAGATGCGTATTCGCTTAAATGTATTTCTGATAAAGATTTTAAGGCCCTCGCCACATATTGCGCATACGCGCGCGTACGAGGGCGTAACATACAAACGCGTACAAATCGCTAAAAATTTTGATAGTGCCAACAGAAAGTTACTACTATTCCTCGCATGCCCCAAACGAACACACTTACCCCCGGAACAAACGTATCATAACCTTCAATAATATAGCGTTAATTTCAAATTCGCTAGTCAAAGAACGCGTAAGCGCATGCACGGCAACAGCCAATAAGCGTCGACTAGAAAGAAACAGAAGTTTCCCGCTATTTGTTGCTATCTCTCTCACTCTTGCGGACAATTCCATAACCTGGTATCAGCAGTCTATCTTTTATATGCCTATGAGGGTCTGTCTCCATAGGGCCTGCCTGAGTCCGTCCGAGCCGGCCGAGATTTTTTATGGGCACGCCATCTCTATAATTTCGTATCCAATGGCGAGTTTCATAGTGAATGGCTGCGTTTACATAAACGAGCCCGATCGGACGCAGCCAATACGAGAAACGCATGAACACGAAATTATAGAGATGGCGTGCCCATAAAAAATCTCGGCCGGCTCGGACGGACTCAGGCAGGCCCTATGGAGACAGACCCTGATAGCAACTACCAATAGCAATATCATCATTCACTAGTGTGTTATCACGCGGTAACAGAAATAACATGTTATTAAAGTGAAATTCGCGACTCGTAGAACAAAACTCATGCTTTAGCTTGCGTATTACGAATTGTTAAGTACTATGCTTGACACGGCCATTGCATTAAACAAAAATTAAGTTATAATATAAAAATAAGTGCATCAATCAACCAAATAACGAAGGAATTCTACTCAATTTCTTACCAATAATGAAATATCTGATAATACATTATTTTAGCTACTAATGAAAAAAATGGAAAATACATCACCGAATTACTTCGATTGTAATTGCATTTAAAAAAATGCACTTCGTCACAATAATATATGCATCGCAAGTGCATTCGCCATTTTTTATGTGTTACCTTGGTAACGAAATGCGTACCAAAACAAACTCTAGTTCATAAGACTTTGGAACTTTAAAACAAACAAAATTGTTTCGTTAAAAACAAATTAGTAGCTAATATTTTGGAATATTCGCAGTCGTTATTGTAATTATACGTGTAAAATGAAGACATGTGTGAACTGGACTGATAAAGTACAGGATAAAGCTGAGCAGTGGTAAATCTTGTTATTAAACTATTTTTTAAAACATATACATTTTTAATTCAATAATCAAAATATAAAACATTTTTATCAACAAATTATTATAAATATCTTTATCTTTTACATTTTAAATAATGTTTGTAAAAATCAATTTAAGAAATGAAATAAATAGTGCATTGAAATATAAATGTTTTTGTTTATTTAAAAATGATAATCTATTTTATTTTATTAAATATTTTATTTTATTAAAAATTTTCTAGTATTTATGACTTATGCTATAATCCAAGTGGCAGTCAACTAATAGTAGCTGCTGGGCAGCATGTATTAGTTTATGAAAGTAATGATGGTGCTTTAATACAATTATTGAAAGGTAAATGATACTTATTGTTAAAAATGACAAAGTAATAATGTAATTCATAAGTTATATTAGTGAAAATAACTTATGATAAATTTTCAGGACATAAAGACATTGTATATTGTGTTTGTTATGCAAGCGATGGAAAGAGATTTGCTTCAGGAAGTGCAGATAAAACTGTTATAATTTGGACTAATAAATTAGAGGGAATTTTAAAGTACTCGTAAGTATCTTATATAGAAATTACCTATTTAAGAAACAAGAAGACTCATTTATAACAAGTATTTTAGCCATAATGAAGCAGTGCAATCAATGCATTTCAACCCTGTATCACATCAGCTACTTAGTTGCTCACTTTCTGATATTGCATTATGGTCTGCTGAACAAAAAGCTGTTCAGAAACATAAATCAGGAGGCAGAGTGAATTGTTGTGCATGGACTAAAGATGGGCAGTATATGGCTCTAGGCTTATCAGCTGGTTATATTTCTATAAGAAACAAAGTAAGCTCTGATTTTTTTTCACTTTATATAGAATCATATATTCTATATTAATGTGATTATTAATTTATTTATGAAGGGTGGAGAAGAACGTTTACGTATTGATCGATCAGGTGAATCACCAATTTGGAGCCTAGCTTGGAGTCCAGCAAAGTATTTAATTTTAAATTTACAACATTTAAGTTTTTTCAAAATAACAAAATTAATAATTATAATTAATTTAAATAGTGAGGAACCAGCAGATATTCTTTGTGTTGGTGAATGGAGTGGTATGCTGTCATTCTATACCATCAGTGGAAAAATAATTGGAAGAGAAAGAAATTTAAATTTTATCCCACTAAAAATTACTTACTTTCCAAATGGACAATACATAGCTGTCTGTGGCAGTAACAAACAATGCCTTTTATTATCTCATGAGGGAATCCAATTAGCTGTTCTTGGTAATACATTTTCTTCATGGACTTGGACTTGTGCTGTTCATCCAGAGTCAGATCATGTTGTAAGTATCTATAGAGTTTTAAATATATAAGTGTTATCATAAAATAACAATTAAAATTATTCCCAGGCAATTGGTTGTCAAGATGGGACAATTACAAATCTAGAATTATCGTGGAACATTGTTCATGGTTTATACCGAGACAAATATGCATACAGGGAAACAATGACTGATGTTATAATTCAACATTTGATTACAAATCAAAAAGTTCGAATCAAATGCAAAGATCTTGTGAGTTGTCATTAGATAGAATTTCGAAATATAAAGTGGAATATTTCTAAAGCTCTATATATATTTAGGTTCAGAAAATTGCTGTGTATCGAGATAGATTAGCTGTACAGTTGCCAGAACGTGTAACAATTTATGAACCTTCAGGAAGTACTGAAGAAATGCATTACAAAATAAGAAATAAATTAGTTCAATCTTTAGGTTGTAATCTACTTGTTGTAACTACAAACAATTTAATTCTCTATCTGGATAAAAGAATTCAGAGTCTATCATTCAACGGCATTGTAGAAAGAGAGTGGATCCTCGACGATCCAGTTTGTTACATAAAAGTTATTGGAGGCCCACCAAGTAGAGAACGATTATTAGTTGGCTTGAGAAACGGACAAGTGATGGAAATTTATTTGGATAATCCATTCCCCTCTCTGTTAGCTAAAATTGATGGAGCTATCAGATGTTTGGATGTGAGTTCAATGAAAGAAAAGTTAGCTGTTGTTAATGACCAAGGTGTTCTTTCTGTATTTGATATTTACAACGATAATAAATTGCAAGAATTTCACGATGTAACTAGTGTGGCTTTCAATAGTGCTTTTGAAGATATGATTTGCTTTTCTGGTCAAGATTATCTAGCTATCAAAGTCGCTCATTTTCCCGAATACAAACAGAAGTTTTCAGGCGTTGTTGTTGGACTCAACGGTTCAAAAATGTACTGTTTACACGGTTCATCAATCGTTACCATGGAGGTACAAGATTGAGCTTCTAATTTGTATTTTTGTTATCTTCAAATCTTTTATAAAGAATTGATTAATGTTATTTTCAGATCCCGTTGTCATCGTCGATGTATCGATATTTGGAAGCCGAAATTTTTGACAAAGCTTACGCCATAGCTTGTCTTGGTGTCGCAGATTCCGACTGGTTTACTCTGGGTGTCGCGGCTCTTGATCACCTAGAATTCAAAATAGCTTATGAGGCTTTCGCAAGAACGAAAAAGTTGCGCTACATTGACTTGGTTCTGGAACTCGAGGAAAAGTTTAAATCTGGCGAATGGGGGCGTGAAGCTTGCATGGCTACCGCCGCTGCAGCAATGGGTAGACTACGCGAGGCAGCCAAGCTCTTTCAGAAAGCTGGTTTGCAGCAGCAAGCTTTAGATATGTACTCGGATCTGCGAATGTTCGACATGGCGCAAGAATTCATTGCGAGCGGTAATAGTCAAGATCGGACGATGCTGCTTAGAAGACGAGCCGAATGGGCAAAGAGCTTAGGTGAACCTCGTGCCGCGGCTGAAATGTTCCTTTCGGCGGGTGACGCCCAGAAAGCGATCAAGATTATTTCGGAATACGGGTGGATCGATATGCTCATCAAAGTCGGCCGGCAGCTTGACAAAGCCGAGCGGGATAGTCTCTCGATGATCGCGAAGAAACTACGTCAACTCGGAGCAACTCACGGTGCAGCCGAGATTTTCAGTCGCCTAGGTGACGATCCTGATGTGGCTGATGTTCTCGTCGACGCTCATGCTTGGCATGAAGCTTTTGAGCTTGCGGAGAGGAATCCCAGGCTCAAGTCCAGAGTGTATGGCCCTTATGCAAGGTGGCTTGCAGAAACGGGCAAGTTTTCAGAGGCACAAAAAGGTAAAGTCTATTCAGTGGTTATTATTGACAGCTAGTGATGCTCTCAATACCACGGCATTTTTTTTATAGCGTTCCAAATGGCTGGCCAGCCGGAGGAGTCTAGTCAAGTATTGACCACGTTAGCGAACAATGCTGTAATGGAAAAGAGATTTCGTGATGCATCGTACTTTTACTGGTTGTTGTCGCAAATTACTCTCCATTTAAACAAAAGTACTGAGGAAATAAAAGCGCAATTCATGGCGTACTATGATAAAGCTGATATTTATTACGCTTATCACGAAGTCTATAAATATTTGGTAAATCGACGTTATCTTCTGTTTATTAGTTTCAAAGTAATGTAATAATATTTTTCTATTTTTTTAGAAAGAACCATTTACAGCATTGATGCCCGAGTCATTGTTCAATATTTCGAAATTCTTGCTCACGAAAATTTATAGTACGACATTGGAAGGTATCTCCAAATTAAAGATAATGTATGCACTTGTGAAGCAAGCGCGATTATTAGGAGCTAATAAGTTGGCAATGCAGTTACTCGACCGATTGCGCGAAATGAAAATACCTAAGCATCATCTTGCGCAAATTGAAATCTGGACGATCGCTATCAAAGCGTATCCTTATCGAGATCCAGAGGAATTGTTACCGTTGTGTAATAGATGCTCGACTTACAATGCCTTGTTGCCAGCTGTTAATAATGCCGCTGGTAATTGCTGTGCTCAGTGTGGACTTAAGTTTCAGTATTCTTTCGTAATGTTCGGTAAATATTTTAATTTGTATTCGATCTCAGTGGCCAATTCATTCTAAATTTAACCATTTTCAGAAATTTTGCCTCTGGTCGAATTCGAATTAGAACCTGGAATAACAGATAATGAAGCTGAAAAGTTAATTGAAGAACCGGTACAGTCAACCGATGATAGTATTAATACGGAAAATCAATTTACCGTCACGACTAATCAAACTGACTTATTTATGGCTCGACTAGTCCAATACGAGGTTTCCGTAATAAATACTCATGTCAATGCATAATTCGACTACGATAAACTCGAACAAATACAATTATTTTTGAATCGTAGGAAAAGTTTGGAAGCTCAACCGTTACCGTGGGACGCGGTGTGTTGAAAAGTATGGAACCATCATCAGTATTAATCGTAAAATGGCCTAAGCCATTCAAAACGCGATATTACAGAAATCTTTTACCTGATTTACAAGTAACGTTTTGTAAATCTTGCCTGAAAGTAAGACAGTCTTTAGTTATAGTTAGATTAATAGTATTTGAATTAAATTAATTTAATTGTTTTTCAGATGTTTCACACAGATGATTATGAATTGGCGCTACTTCGTTACAATCACTGTCCGTTTTGTAGAACACCTAGCAATTTTAGCAATCAAAATGTATAAGCTACCTCAGGCAATGTGATTTTCATTAGATAGTAAACCTGTGCCTTGATCGCGAATCAAGCGAACAGCTTATTATTAAGCAATGTATTTGTAGACTTAGATTTGGTAAATAAGAAGCATAGCTTCAAAAAGAATATCTAAACAATTAAAATAAATGGTAAAAAAATTGGACGGTATGCATTAAGTTACAGTCATCTCCTTGTAAGTTATATGACGATACCACAACGCATAGCAGAGCGCACAACAGTTACGTCAACAGGTGATTTAGCGTTCCACGACTTTTTTCAAAAGAGCGCTAATTGGCTGGATAGCTTGAACAAATGATTATCCCGTTATCTGCCGAAATGAGAGCGTCAGTGAACCAGAAAGCCCTGTCTGTTCAGTTTGCACCCTGCACAGACAGACATGTTCGGCGAACTTGTGGGTATTATCTTTGTCACGCTCACCATCGCTTCTGGTCAGCATTCTTCTGCAGATCGCGTTGACGCCCCGAGGGATGCTCCGATTTTGCACCGATACAAACGCTGTGAGTTATATGTCGACTTTTGTTGTCGCTCTTCTGCCTTTGCATCCCTCGGGGTATTTTAAGCTGTCTTACTTAAAATAAAATTAATACGAGCCATTTCCAAATAGTATATTTCATTTTTTCAAATAGTATTTCTCGTCAAAGCAAATATAAAAACGTAAAAATAATGTATCCAATCGTTACAAGAGATCAATATCAAAACATTCATTGATTGTGTTTACATTTTCAAGAACTCAAATAATTGTATCTAAGTAACTGTTTTTATTATTTAAAATTGGAGACAATTTCACACATAAAAAACGCATGGCAATAACTGTTTGTTTTCTGCGTAGTTTTTCCCTTATTTAGCGTAATTCGCTTTCCCAATTCTCAATGCACGGCAAGTAATAGTTTTAATGGGACTTGCTATACGAGACGCGAATGTTTTGCTCAAGGAGGAACTGCATTGGGTAGCTGCGCCAACGGCTTTGGAGTTTGCTGTGTATGTAAGTACACGTTATATTATTTTAACTATGATATACTATGCATAACTTGAACAGTCAAATTACTCATTTTCTTATAGTTCAAAAGTCATGTGGAGCCACAACTAGCGCAAATAATACGTACTTCATAAATCCTTCGTATCCAACAACTTTCGACGGGGGCGATCGATGTATGCTAATGGTGCAAAAATATAGTGCTAACGTATGCCAGGTGAGAATCAACGTTTATAAGGAAACATTTTTTCTGTGAGATTTTTCTACTAGTAGCTAATGTCCGATCAATGTGAAATTTTTCTTTTATTTCAGTTGCGACTAGACTTTTTGGATTTCAGCTTAGCTCAACCCACATCGGAGGGTATTTGCGACTATGATTTACTGTCAGTTTCCGGCGGTTCGTCTCGCGTACCACGAATTTGTGGGGAAAATAGTGATCAACATGGTATACAAGTATCACATTCTTTATTAATTCATAACCAATGAAAATTATCGCTAACTAATTTTATGACGAGACTATAAAGTAAATATTTTGTTGTATTTCATCATTAATTCTAGTTTACGTGGATTACGACGGATTGAATCCAATCGCAATATCTATTGACGCTAGCTCAGAGTATTCGTTTAAAAGGCGTTGGAACATAAGAGTGCAGCAAATTGCTTGTGATTCAGCGACCAAAGGTATACGTGTTGATTGATTAGCCTAGGGAAACTTAAAATGTTTGAAAAATTTGTGTTTAATTCAAATTTCATTAATACACGCTCCAGCGCCGAGCGGTTGCCTTCAATACTATACGGCAACATCTGGTATTGTGATGAGCTTCAATTATGGAACTATAAATAATGCACGCCCAAGTATGAGTTAGTATTAGTCTACTTTTTTCATTCGTTGCTGAATAATTAAATAGCAAATTTCATTGTACAGAACATTTATATTTGACGTGGCGTATTAATTCAGTAAATCGAAAAATTGGAACATAATATTCAAAGTTATTGTAATTAAAAATATTACAGACGCAACGATACCAATAGGTACTAGAGAAATGGCAGACTTAAATTACGGTGCTTGCGTTAGATTAGCATCTGGCTATTGTAGTCTAAAATGGTCATTAATAGAAGAGAATTCGTTTTCAATATCTGGTAATGGGAGTAAGTACTTTATTAATCAACTGTTCAAAAATGTCTTCTATTAAAATTGTAAATAATAATAAATATTGATATTATTTTAGCTTCGGGAACGGCTACTTTTGGAAGTAATTGCATAACAGATTATATTATCATTCCTAATGCAGCTGAAGTAAATACAAGCATTTCAACACTAACAGCAGATAGATTTTGTGGATCAGCTTTTACTCCAAAAATCAGTTAGTATTACGTAAATAAAACTTATGATTTAATTGGTTACATTAACAAATTTTTATAATTTGTTCTCTTGTTTTAGCCACGTTGAAACCTTACGTATTATATGTCATAACTGATTCTAATGAAACAAACAGTACAACACCTGATACTGAGAACAAAGGTTTTGCTTTAATGTACAGACAAATGATTTGTTCTATTTAGAATAAAAGAATTTTTTTACAAAAAAATATTTATTTTTTCAACAAATATTTATTATAAAGCAATCAAATAAATAAAAAGTAATGTACAAATCTCAACTTCATTGTTCCTCTATCAATTGCTCAAATAAATGCTACCTGCATGAGAATCAACCTTCTCTTTCATTGCACTGTACCATACGCTTAATTTAGTATGGTTCAATGCATCATTGAATGCTTTACAGCCTTCTATTGATTTTAATACACCATACACAGCAAGGTCAGATAAGTCTGGATTTGCTCCTCCCATAAATGTTCCTCTTTTTGCTTTAATTTCGTTGAGCCAAAGATTAATCTCATCATAGAAAGATTGTCTTACATCATCTTTCAATTGGTGTTTTTTCTTCAATCTCTTTGAAATTAACCACATAGCTAAAGCTCCTACATTAATCATTATAGCTCTTTCCCAAGCTGGGAAATATTCTTCCCAATGTCCAACCTAAATTTGTTTTAAATTTCAATAATTAATCTACTTAATTATAAGTTTTAAAATAGTTGAATTTAAACTCACTTTAGAAAACCAGTTGAATGTTTGGTATGCTTCTCCTAATGTCCTATAAACATTTGGTGAAAGTGTGTGTACAAATACATCGTCTGCCCATTTCCTCCATTTTCGTTCCTCGCTACAATAAAATCATGTCTTATATCATCTATATAAAATTATTATTATTTTGGAATAATTTAAGTTATATACTTACACAATGTCATTCATAGATCTATTTTTAGGAATATAATTTTGATACATAAGAAAATATTTATTTACAATTTCATGCTTGAATACTTCTTTTTCATCGTGCATTGCAATGACAGGATAATACTTTGCAATTTCATCAAGTTTTTGTGACTTGTCATTCAAAAAAGATGTTATAACTGACACAATCATGGAACTGTCGTTTAATGGTTGATAGCCTTTGTCAACCTTTGCTAATAAAATAGGCACTTTTCTGTAATCTGACCAATTAATTTCTCGTCTGAGTACAGGATCAACTTCCACAACATCATAAGATATTCCATAATAATCTAATAAAACTCTAACCTGTAAAACATTTAATTACAGTTTATAAGTAATTCTCTACTTTTCAATAAAAAACACACTAAATTTTGTTATATTTACCTTACAGCAAAATGGACATGTCTGGTATTGGAAAAGTGTTAATTTCAACCCTGTAGAATCTACAGGAGAGATAATCTAAAACCATTCATCATGTGGTTAAATCAAATTCAATTACATAAAATGATGTAAAATATATCAAATTCTTATTATTAATACTATCAATATGCAATAGAGTAGCTGTAATCTTTGTATTATTTGTACTATTATTAAAGGAATATAGGAATTATCAGCGATGAATATGTAATAATTGTTAGGAATATTTTTGAACATTGTAAACAGGTGGTGGTATATAAGTAGTTGAAGTAAATAAAAATCAGTTGATATACATACCCGTCGAGAAGGTTTCACGTCCGGCTTGTATTTTAAAAGCTTTACGTCTATTTCGGAGCCTTCTAAAGCCAATTTTTGCCTTGCGTCGTTTATTTTAGTAAAGGCATAACCTACTCCGACCGCAGCACCAAGTCCAGCTCCGATTAAACTGAATCTCAGAATACCTTTGGACTTTGGTTGTTCAACGTACGTACAAAGACTGCGGGAAACTAATGAATTCGACGTGACATTGTTTATATTCAAAGATTCTCGAATATATTTGGTTCTTCTCATGAAACCACGAAACCTGCACATCACCGCCATTTTCAAAAATCCGACAAGTCCCCGACCGTCACGAAAGCAGAGCCAAGATACGTAAGCGACCGTCAATGACTTACGACGTTTTTATAATTTCTATTTGTTCTTTTTCATATATTGAAACGCTTCGATTGATTGCTCGCGTGTTTACTATTTTTTCTGTAAAGGTTAAAGTAATACATATACATACGTATCTAATAGAATGTCATAAATCAGTTTTTTTTACTTAATTAATGATTAATGAAATTATTCATGAAATATGGAGATGCAACATCAGGCTACCGAAGAAAATAAAAGAAGTGGAAATAGAGATTGTACGGTTGAATCAATTTTAAAAGACAATTCTGTATTTATTGTAGAAAAAAATGAGCGGGAGAAGGAAATAAATAACAAAGGTATATGAAAGTATTTATTGATCGCGGCCATTATTATAATATATATAGAAATAGATACTGTTATTTTTAATATTGTTGTAATATAATTTTTCAGTTGATAATATTGAAAATAAATTAGCAAAACCCTTATTAACCTTCAAATGGCAAAAAAATTCCACTAAAATGAAAATGGATTTGCAAGGATCTGTTGCTAAAGCATTTTCGAATTTTAATCAGGATGATCATATTGAAAAATCTAGAAATAGATTTGTTGTTTTCAAAAATAAATTATGTGATGATGAATCAACTGTTACAGCTGATCAAAATGTCAAAATAACATGTTCATATAAAGAGCCGATTTGGAGTGGCATGCCATCCGATATTTATAAAGTGGATGTTTTTAAGGCTGGTGTAATTCTGAAAACTTTAGATCTTTCATATAAAAGTTACAATGTTATTGGGACATCATTATCCTGTGATATCATCTTATCACATAAAACAGTATCCGAATTTCATGCAGTTTTACAATACAGATGCATAGCTGATTTTGAAAATGAAACAGGAATTTATATTTATGATTTGAACAGTACATATGGGACTTTTTTAAATGGAGTAAAGATAAAGCCCTACACATACATAATAGTTCAAGGTGGTGAATTGTTGAGCTTTGGTAATGGTCAACGAAAATATGTTTTACATACACCAAAAGATAGTAAAGAGCAGGAAGCTCAACTTTCTGCTATAGAATTACAAGAATTACAAGAAAGTGAATTACAAGAGCAACGAAAAATATATATAGAACAATTATCGAAACAAAGGGAGTTAATCACAATGAAACAAGAAGAATCTGAAGGAATCAGTTGGGGAATAATAGATGTTGATGAACTTTCAAGATCAACAGTTACCTCAGAATATTCTGAAAGTGATAACGAAGTATCATATTTAGATAATCCTAAAAAAACTTTGCAAGATTGGTTTAAGTGGGAAGGATATGATTTAGAATATCAAACAGTAGATGAAGGATTTGGAAGATTTTCTTGCTGCATCGAGTTAGTTTTGTACTTTATCTAATAATCCATATTTTCTAAGTAATTTTGAAGCTAATTATATACATTTTTTTAGTTTAACTTTGGATGCCTTGGGCTCTACAAAAAAAATCCAATGTACTGTCAATGGAGATAAAATGAAAGCTATTGATGAATGCATTTTGAGAGCTTGCAAGTTCTTAGATGATTATGGATTTTTGCAGCAAGCATTCAGTAAGTTTTTATTCACTTTAAATGTTTTATATAAAAATGTTTCTAATAATTATAGTAATTATGTAGAGGAAAAAAAGAGTACATTCCGAAATTGGGAAGCTGCAGATTATTATGATTCTGATGAAGACAATTATCTAGACAGAACTGGAGCAATTGAGAAGAAACGTCAAAAAAGAATGGAAATGGATGGAAAATTAAAAACTCAAGAAATGCGTGATATTTTGGTATATATTCAACTTATGAATTATTTATATTTCAAATTTGACAATTTTATTGTACATTGCAGTCAGAAAAATATGCAGATGTATGTAAACAGATAACTACGTTGGAAAATTCAATAAATTTATCAAAAAATAATAAAGATAAAAAAAAAGATTCAGATGAAGATGCATTGGATGCTTTTATGACTGAACTCAACACATCAAGTTTAAGTAAAACAGAAATCAAAGATGTAAAATTAGAAATCCAAAATTTACACAAAGCATGGAATCTGTTACTTAATTCAATCAATGTAAATACTATTACTGGTGCTAATCAATCAGAACCTCATTTAGAAAGTATAACTGAAAAAACTAAGAATGGTTGCAGATTCAGATAATGAAACAAATAATTATTCATGATATAAATAATATATACACACAAATGATTAACTATATCATATTATAGTAAATAATTGACACAGCATTTTTTGTAAATAATAAAATTGTCTGGTCACCTAACTATTAAATTGGGAAAATTTTCAATTTATATTCGATATATTTGATTGTATATTTTATAATAGAGTTGAATAACCAATTTTTAAAAGTATAAAAGAATATTTTATTTGAAGAAAAGTATAAAGTTCAAATCATTCTGTAATCTTTTAAATGGAGAAGTTATGTAAGTTTAATTTATAGTATAACATGTTTGTCTATGTGTTCAAAATTTACTAGTAAAACAACAAATTGGTATATTTTTTATTTATATTCATGTTCATGTAGTTATATTACTTATAAAAATTTATACAATCAAAATTCTTGTGACATTAATTATTTATTATGTTATGCTAATTGTTTATAATATAAAACAATTGATTTGATAAAAATATAGAATAAGAGAAAATTTCATAATAACTCGACTTGAATTTATCAATGAAAAATCAAGTTTCTGAAAACAATGATAAGAAAACTAATTAGTTTAAAAAATATTCTTTTGTAATTTTTACGAAATATACGTTTTCTCGTAAGCGATGAAGTATTTCTACGCGCCAAATTAAACGCAACTCTACAAGGTATCATACTACTACATACATACAGTAAGCTGACACATGTATGATAGAACCAGCTAAAGAGCTATATGTTGGCTATGTAGTGAAACAGTATACTTATCACAGGGTAGCGTATAAGTAAGCAGAGCGTGCAGCGAAAGATGGTTAAAGGCCGGTAATGTGTGTATCTTGTGCATCTTTGTTGAAGAATCATTTGAACTTTTAATTGACAGACACCTTATGAATGAGATATGGCTTATCAGTTGTTATTTTCGGCTGCCAAGTTTGAAAAGTTCCTATTAAGTCGATTTGATCACTTTCAGGTGAGCCCTCAGCCCTTACCAACTTCATAACCTATTTCATCATGTTGTGAGATACTTGTTTCTGGTGATATAATCATGCATCAATGATTACTTGTCATCTTCTTAATAGTTTTCTATATTTTTCTTGCAAAATTCAACATAATACAGTATTCAACGTAATACAATATTCAAAATAATTATATTTTTTTTCTTTAACATTGTCATCTCCATTTTCAGATGTTTAATAAGTTTATATAAAAATTTCATAATATTACCACAGGCTGTAAGGACGTTATCTCCATTCAGAAATGGAACAAGGCTGTCGGCTATCGAACAAGTCCAACAACAATGGAGATGGTTTTGTCAGAAACCACCAAAGGGATTTGAAAAATATTTTAAGCCCAGACAACAGTCTAAAGAAATTCCAAAAGTAGTTGAAAATGCACCTAAAGAGAGTAAGAATGCAGAAAATGGAAATGCTTCAAAGGAGACATCTAGTTCAAGCTCCTCGCCTAACTCATCAGGTTCTAAACAATTTGGTTTTAATATGAATGTAGGACGGAAGATTGGTGGTGATACTGGTGGACCATTTAATGGAAATGATAAGTGGTTAACATTAGGAGCTATTGGTGCTATAGGTTTTATTGCAGCATTGACTCTTACGGATAGTGGAAAGGAAATAACATGGAGAGAGTTTGTCTATGGGTAAGGCATTTGTTACTCTTATAAAAATATTATTAATATTAACTAACAATGGACTTTATATTTTTAGTTATCTGAACAAAGGAGTTGTTGATAAACTCGAAGTAATAAACAAGAAATGGGTTCGAATTAGGCTTCAGCCAGGAGCTAGTTCTGAAGTAAATATTAAAATCTATTATTTTTTGTTAGTTGAAATAATTTCATAATACTATCTCGTCTTTAGGGTACACTGTGGTTCAATATAGGCAGTTCTGAAACTTTTGAAAGAAATTTGGAAAATGCTCAATTAGAATTGAACATTGAACCTCAAAATCATGTACCTGTTGTGTATAAAAATGAGCTGGAAGGATCAAATCTAGTATCAGCCTTACCAACACTCATTACTATAGGTAAAATATAATCTGAACAAATTTATGCAGAGCATAAATAAACCTATTTTAATATTTGCTTAATGTTTTTCAGCTCTTTTATTATTCTTAACACGCAAAACTGCAAGTATGTTTGGTGGTAAAGGTGGTCGTGGTAAAGGACTTTTTGGAAATGTAACATCTTCTACTGCTAAACTAATTAACCCAAGTGAAATAGGAGTAAGATTTAAGTAAGCTGTTTTGTTTTTCTCAATGATAATCTTGATTAACAATCTTAATATCAACATTATAAATTGCTTTATAATGAATAATTACTCATTTGTCATTTTTTATATAAGGGATGTTGCTGGATGTGAAGAAGCTAAAATTGAAATCATGGAGTTTGTTAATTTTCTAAAGAATCCTCAACAATATTTCAACCTTGGAGCTAAGATTCCTAAAGGAGCCATTTTAACAGGTACTTATTTTTCTTAATTTTTTTTAGTGTGAATAGAATTAGCGTTTATGATAATATGACCTACAATTTTGAAGGTCCTCCTGGTACTGGTAAAACTTTATTGGCAAAAGCTACTGCCGGAGAAGCAGACGTACCTTTCATAACGGTGTCTGGTTCAGAATTTCTCGAAATGTTTGTGGGTGTTGGACCTTCTCGTGTCAGAGATATGTTTGCCATGGCACGTAAAAGCGCTCCCTGCATTTTATTTATCGATGAAATCGATGCTGTAGGTCGTAAAAGAGGCGGTAGAAACTTTGGGTCACATTCAGAGCAAGAAAACACATTAAATCAACTCTTGGTAGAAATGGATGGTATGTTTTCGAACTTTTTATAAATATTCCACCATATAAAATGAGAAATTATTTTTTATTTTGGGTTTATATTTAAAGGTTTCAACACAACGACAAATGTAGTAGTTTTGGCTGCTACAAATAGAATCGACATTTTGGATAAAGCTCTTCTACGTCCTGGTAGATTTGATAGACAAATTTACGTACCAGCGCCGGACATTAAAGGAAGAGCTTCTATCTTCAAAGTTCATTTACAAAACTTAAAAACTGATTTAGATAAAACTGAACTGGCCAGAAAAATGGCAGCACTCACACCAGGTTTTACAGGTATTTTTCACTTATTTTCATATAATTACGTTACTTTATCAAAGCAGTTTGACTCAGAATTTTATGCACAGGAGCTGATATTGCAAATGTTTGTAACGAAGCTGCATTGATAGCTGCTCGTGATAAGAGAGACAACATCATAATGAAAAATTTCGAGCAAGCTATTGAACGAGTAGTTGCAGGTATGGAAAAGAAGACAAACGTTTTACAGCCAGAAGAAAAGAAAACTGTAGCCTACCACGAAGCTGGGCATGCTGTCGCGGGATGGTTCCTACAATATGCAGATCCTCTATTAAAGGTCCGTTAAACTTCAAACTAAAAATAAAAAGTTGCTGTGAATAACGCAACATATATTTATAATTATATATCATGCCTTAGGTCTCCATTATTCCTCGTGGCAAAGGATTAGGTTACGCTCAGTATTTACCTCGCGAACAGTACTTATACACAAAAGAGCAATTATTCGACAGAATGTGCATGACATTAGGTGGTAGAGTATCCGAAGAACTGTTTTTTGGAAGAATAACGACAGGTGCACAGGATGATTTACAGAAAGTAGGTCTTTTCAGATCTTATTTATTTGTGAATATGACGTACTTAATTATCTTGATATTATCTTTCAATCAGGTAACTCAGAGTGCTTATGCGCAAGTCGTTCATTATGGTATGAACGAAAAAGTCGGTAATGTAAGCTTTGAAATGCCCCAACCTGGTGATACAGTTTTGGATAAGCCTTACTCTGAAAGTACTGCTCAACTTATTGATCAGGAAGTTAGGGACATGATAACTAAGGCACACAAGCATACAACAGAACTTTTAACAGAGCACAAAGGAAATGTCGAAAAGGTACGCCTACATAATAAGTATAAGAAAATATTACAACTGAAAAAAATTAAATTGTATAAATTATTTGTAATAGGTCGCTCAGCGATTGCTGAAACAAGAAATTTTAAGCCGTGACGACATGATTGAATTGCTCGGACCAAGGCCGTTCCCCGAAAAATCGACTTATGAAGAATTCGTTGAAGGTACTGGATCATTTGAAGAAGATACTACATTACCTGAAGGTTTGAAAGATTGGAATAAAGCTAAAGATGCTTCAGATACTAAACCATCTGATAGTAGTCCTACGGAAAAGCCACCACCACCACCACCACCACAACCAAAGATAGAGTCAGAGAAACAATTGTAATTATATACTTTTATTTATAGCCACTTGATTGAACGTGCAGACACAAATCTTGATATACTTTTATTGACACTTTGTATAATAGCTATCAAAATAGATTTTTTAAATACAGAATTACATATTTGATGTCAAGCGATTCAAACTCTGTGAGCACCATTGTTTTCTTACGCTTGCGATTTTTCAAATTGTAAAATAATAATAATAATAATAATAATATTAATAATAATTTGTTTTGGAAAAAATCTTATTAGAAGTTTAATTTAATACTGTTGACAATACGAAGATATTTAGATATTGTGTATAAATAAATCAAAACTTTTGATAATTATGAGATTTGCTTGTATATTCATATAATGCTAATAGGTCTATTAAGGTTTATAGAAAAAAATATATTTAGAAATGGGTTTCAGAACGTTCTTTTATTCCGCGATACTGTCAAGTACAGAGATATTGTAATAAAATTGAAAAAACACAGTATACATCTAAATGGTCGGGGTTATACTTGATACACAGATCAGTTTCTTTTCATTTATTTTCAATTATTTTATTTGTATATCTCATACACGTGTCTCTGGTGCGATACTATAATCCAGTAATTGGTTTTGCAGTTTGCAATATTTTGTTATGTTGGCTGCTCAATACGTTATATGGATAAAGTAGTAGCCACGAAACTAGAACTTCGATCAACAATAATTCATAATGATCTTATTGTAAATTGTATCAATTCATGTTGTAGAATATAAAAAAAATTAATGTTGCAGATCTAGAAATAGTTGAATTATCGGTAAGCATTATGCTACTTTGTGGCCTATGGAGTAGAGATTTTTGGCACTAAACATCGTTAAAGCATTATGCCATACTTTGATCAACTTTCATCTTTATAAAGAAATTGATATACAGGACGTAGACTGACTGATGAAAATTGAAAGTATAAAATTTAGAAATCATTAAGTAGAACATGTCAATCATTGACACACTGAGAAAAAATATTACATAAAAAATGTTAGATTTGCCTTTATTACAAATCAATATTTTTTACCGCTTTTCTTTTTGATCCCGTGACAGTTGCTCTCAATTTATGATCTGACTTGTTTTTCTTACGTTTTCTTCTGTTAAATTTCCGAGTACAGTCCTCGTAGCTTCTACAAAACTATATGTTGACTTTATCGAGTAAATATTTATAGATTTGGAAAGTATTACCGTACAACTTAGTGCTAATCACTAATCAAATATCATACAATCACTAAATTATTGCTTTGTCGTACCTTGTATCACACTAATCTAAATCCTAAGTCCATGCTTAGCGTTACAACTTCTTTTTTTGCATTTTCTAATCTTTTTTTTTTTAATATAAAAAAAAATTGGTGAAATTTGCAAAAGTTTCTTTAGTTAGTAAATGTTTTCACACTTTTTTTTAAGTAGTCACATGCTAAACTGCTGGAAAATAAAGCAAATTTCAAGTTTCAAATGTAATACGGCTGTCTACGTTGCTTGCATAAAAGAAATGTTTTTTCTAGTTTGTAAGGTGATGCTAATATTAGTTTTTCGGAAATACCTCGACACATTTAAATAAGTCCATCTTATAGGAAACATAAATGTGATCCGTAAAAATGCAAAAAAATTTCGCGTTACAATTTGATTTGCAGAATACATTCTTTAGTAATCATTTTTTATCGCTTCACTATTCTAACGCACTTCCGGATGGGAGAATAAAGCTTATGTAAGGTCGAGTGCTGCCTTTAGTCGCTTGCAATTACGTACTTCACACAATGCCATAGTGTAATGTAGTAATATCTACAATAATATGTGAAGTGCAAATGGATAGTCTACTTATTGCAATATCTGTTACGATATAATTTTAACGTTGGCTTATGCACAACCCTATATTTTTGCAGGCAAAAATAACGGAGGCAAAAATGGTTCGAAATTCCTGTTGAATCGGGACAATTCAGCTCTCGATAATTGCAGCACGAGTATTTTATAGGTGTACACACTAACGCTGACGTTACGCGGCTTTTCAATATGTATAAGTTAATTGCTCAAGCCATCATTTACAATGTGGCGGTTGTAATCTTATAAGTACGTAGAAAAACTGATGTCCAAATTATAACGGATGTGCGTGAACCGATTGATCCTCGAGTTTTATCTTACATCTTGGCAGAAGTAAAACAAAATGAAAGTTAAGCGTGTGTAAAACTCGGAATACGTTCGTTTTTTAATTGAACGGCGACCTTGTACGCATGAATTTTGATTTGCAAACACTGTCTTTTTTACAACTATCTCGAAGTAGTTTGGTGTTTCTTATGCTGTACACGTGGCGCTTTACTTTAGAATCAGAAAAAACATTATTACAATTAGTTATTGACTATTGTGACGATATCTTATACATAGCAGGTATTCACTATAATTGATTGACTGAGTATTTGTAAATGTCCATAGTAGGTACTAAGATCATAAGGTGTAGTTTGTTTATAACTAACACGTTCAAATACCATTGCGATTTTACAAATGTATTTGTATTTGTAGTTTGTTTATGCTGTGTGTCCATACTTTACTCATGCCTATAATTACTATAGTTTTTCATATATCTTGCGCGTGTACTTTTAATACTACGTGTGTGTTTGTGTGTTTGTTGTGTTGACCCTCAATTTACGAGTTCATATTCCTCACCTCAATGAAAAATAACGTATGTTGCAGGCTGTGTGTTTCGACCTCCTTACAATTAATTCATTTAAAAAAATTTAGGGTGCATTTTCCGTTACACTTATAAAAATACTTGCAGTGGCCTACTTTACATCGCTTTATAAGAGGAATAAAAATCAAGTTTACATATCGAGTACGGAAAAATTTACGATAATTGATTCACTTTTTTAAGCAATAACCAATTGACATTTCGTACGAAGCTATGTCGAAGTACAAAAATAGTTTATCAATACAATGTACCATTTTTTTATAACGATCTATACGAAAACTCGAGATCCAAAGGTCGATACTTTACATATAATAATCGATCGTATGTAATCTCTTATAAATATTCTTTACCTACTATTTAATAATTTGTTCTTACAAAGTAGCATTTGTAAATGCAAAAGGAAATGATATTCATATAAGTGGACTTCTGGCCTTCACCTTGCAATAATTTGTTTTACCGAGCTTGTAATTGAGGTTTCTTTATCAGTTAATTGAACCGTTCAATTTTCCAGTTATATTTAATTATTTATTTATTTTTTGAAATATACTATATAAAAAATTCCATTGATAGAACCCTGCTTCAATGCTTATCACTAAGATTTGTTTGTTTCTACAAGTTTTTCCTGCATTTTTATATATCCGCGTATAAAGTGCTGACTAGATGTATTACCTATGTGTTTCGTTTTAATTCTATTACCGATACTCCCTAAAACCTATGCTCTTTGGATAAAAAATTGTTTTCTTCTTCTCCATAAGTTTGAAAAGCTTCCACTACCATTATTGCATTTTATATGTAACGTTTAAAGGTAAGTTACTTATTTGACTAGAGCTCATTTGTCATCATTCGCGTGTATTAAACAAGTAAAATGAATGACGGATTCGATACTACAACAATACGAACAAAAGTAAATTTCAATTATTCAGAACTAGGAAAAGCCCAATTCTTACTAGCTAGAATCACATAAATAAAAACAATAGCAAACCTAATTCTGACTGGACTTGCTAAAATGTAGCAAAGATAAATATCAGAGATCGCATTTGTTGATGTAATAATTGATATTGCACTGGTTCGTGTTTGGGATAAAAGTCCGAACGCAAAGCTCAGACGTAATTAACAGCAATCGCGTTAACCTGCTGAAACCTCAACAGGTGAGCGTATAAGGAAATGCTCGGCACACAAAAAAAGGAGAAGTTTAGCCGTGACCCTAGATTAACACGTTTGCTCTAGGTCGAAAACGTCGAGCGAGCAACACGTTCCATAATTCAAAGGTGCGCAACTTGTCTGCCCTCTCTCTCGCTCGGCGAACTTGCGAGCGAATCACTTCTGGTCAGCGCGACGTAGCTGCTCTAGCTCGAAGGCTGCAACAGGTGGTGTGGAGTCAACGTCGACTCTTCCCCCTTCCCGCCCCTTCGTCTTTCTCTTGCTTGCTCGCGATAGCCGAAAAATTTCTCGCGAAAAAAGAGAAGAAGCAGAACGAAACGAGCAGCCCCGAGCTTCCTTACTTTCCTTTTGTCCCGAGGCGCTGTGTTGCTAAGCTCTCGCTGACCCACTAAACTTCCTCACCTTCTCGTTTCTCTCGCGAGCGACATTCGCGTCTGACAATGCGACAATCGCGCTCGACCAATAGGCTTCACCAAGATTCGCGAACGAACAAATTAAAGCTAACTCGCGACACTAGTTTCTTCCTCGGTTTCAATTATCACAGAACGCGTAACCAAAATCAATGCCGTCTGAGGAAAACTCTCGCGATTGTTATTTCTACACTAAAACGTGAAAAACTGAATATCTTCGATATGACTAAATAACCGAAATGTGTATGGAAGGTCCTCAGCGTTCACGACGAAGCGCGACGCGAAGAACGCGCACACTCGCATATCAAAACGTTATATAGATCATTAAGAGATTCGATGTTTTTCGGCGTTTTATTATTACTATTATTATTATTATTATTATTATTATTATTATTATTATTATTATTTTTTTTTTTTTAAGTACATACTGAGTTTCAATGCATTACTACACACCTGTTTGCGCATGCACTTGCGCGACACTTTTCGGCGTATCTTTCAGCCGTGGGGAGACACGTAGCTCATACGAATCGCTGCTACTCGGTCTCCCAGGACGATAATAATAGTAGTAATTGTGTTTTGCAAACGATAAGGGCCTTGCGGCGCCGACGCGAAAAATCATCGAAACGGACTAGAATACACTTTGCGTGCGCAATACGCAATACGAAATACGCAATAGCGACGAGCTCGCCAGGATCATCGAATACATTCTCTGTAGCTCTGCGAGCGATATGACTAGCAACGTAATGCGTACCGTGCAATATAGTGCTTGCGTGCGTTGGTGCGATTGCATTCGGTTCGAGCAGTGAATCAACGACGAGCAGTCGTTTCGAGTGATTTTTCCCTTGGAATATCCAACGTAATTGAAGCAGCGATTACATGCCTCTCGCCTTCTTGGCAATGCTCGTAATAAATATCTGCGTGCGCGAGGAAAAGGCTCGAGGAAATTCTTACAGTCCGCAATGTATATATAAGTACGCAATCGACACGTTATGTTACACGTATGTATATGTATGTTATGTGTAATTCGTTATTCGTTGACGGAGAGATAATTGGTTCAGTTAGAACGAGACACGTATATAGCACGAGACGTCCTTTCCTTTCCTGGTCCTCAATGGGTCTGCGTTTTAATATGCCGTCGGTATACACGACTTTTCCAGCCTCTCAAGCTTTACATCTGGACTGCAAATTCAAGCACACAACAGAGAATGGTGAATCGAGCGCGATGATCGGCGGTCGCCGATGGACAAGGTGGGAGCGAGCGAGCGAGCGAGGGCAGAGCGAGGGCAAGCTCATACCTGCGAGCGGAGCTCGGACGTGCGCGCCTCGGCGGGCGAGTCGGCGTCGTTGCTGGACTCGTCGTTGTCGCGCTGGCAGGCGGACTCGAGGTGCTTGTTCAGGTAGGACTTGAGGGCGAAGGTCTTGTGGCAGCGCGAGCACTCGTGGTTCTTGTCGGTGGAGTGCGTCTGCATGTGGGCGCGCAGGTTGGACCGGTCGGCGAAGGCCTTGCCGCAGTGCGCGCAGCCGTAGGGCTTCTCGCCGGTGTGGCTGCGCAGGTGGCCCTGCAGCAGCCACGGCCGCGAGAACATCTTGCCGCAGACGCCGCAGCTGTGCGTGAGCTTGTGCGTGAGCACGTGCATGGCCAGCGCCGGCATGCTCACGTAGGCCTTGCCGCAGTGGATGCACTTCTTGGCCGACTGCGAGTCGATGCTGCGGTGCGTCTGCTTGTGCCGCGACAGGTTCGACGACGTCGCGTACTGCTTACCTGTTGATTCGTTCGGATCAATACCTTATTGCCTGCGCTTCCCCTCGCGCTCTCTCTCTCTCTCTCTCTCTCATAGCCAGCCGCGCGGTTATCGTTAGTTGCAGGATCGATCGCGCGCGCTAGCGGCCACGTCGTGTTCGCTCCCGGCCGACCTGCTCCGTTTTCAGCCCCAAATAACGTTGCTCTCGTGCGCACGAATTTGTCAATGGATTCGGAGGATCTCGTGGTATTTGGAGAGAAGAGCCACCATCGGTAAAAGGCTTCGCACGACACTCGCGGTCGTTCGCTAAGAATCTGTCGCTAGCTCTTAGAAACGCTACAAACGAACGAAACTACGAGCAGCGCCGCGTGTCCGGCCGTCGTTCTAATTAGAAGGTCAGAGGCGAACGACACTTACCGCATTCGCTGCATACATATTTGCCGGTTTTCGACGTCTCCGGCTGGTCTGCGCTCTCCCGATTAGCCTCGCCCTTGTCTTGCGCGGCAGCCGCGACCGGCTCCTGGGCGACTGTTGCCGCAGTCGTCGTGGCTTGCGCGGGTTGCTTGCACTTCTTCGTACGGCCGTCAGCCACGATTAGCGTGTCGAAGGTGTAGCTGGCAGTCTTCGCTGACTCGGGCACGGTGACGCTGGTCTGTACCTCCTTGTCGCGCTGGCTCGGCTGAAGATTCGGATTGCTGTTCTCCACGTCGCTGCTGCACTCGGAGGTCGGCGGCGTTAGCGGCGCTGACGAATCAATCGTCATCGGCTGCTGTCCACCGCTCAGTTGAGCCTGCTGCTGTTGCTGTTGCTGTTGCTGTTGCTGTTGCTGCTGCTGCTGCTGCTGCTGCTGCTGCTGCGGGGCCGCCAGCTGCTGCTGAATGATTATTGGCTCAGCTGGCTGTTGAGGCGGGATCAACGGCTGCAGCTGTGGCTGCAATGACTGAGCGATCATCGTCGTCGGAATCGCCGGGCCACTGTAGAACAGCACTTCTTGTACCGGCGATAGCGGAATGAACACGCCTCCGTGACTCTGTGATCGGAATAGATGTCATACGGTTGTTAGTGTGCAAATATTGTCAAAACAGAACAAAGTGTCATAAGTTTCTGATCAATTTATCGATTGGGACTGGTCTGACGCCACTAGAATAAACCGAGTATTACTTTTTATCAAACTTGTTAGGCAAAGTAAAACTTAATAAGGAATAATTTGGTTCCCAGCAATCTGTTTTTACAATAAATTTTAAGGGCTTGCGTGCTGTGTAGCGGACTTGATGTTCATTCGATGAACCAAACCGTCGCGAAACCTAGCGCCTGACACTTTTTAACATCGACGGGCGAAAGGAAAGCTTTTCATTGATCCTATCATATTTTTATCTTTACCCCTTTATCCAATCAAAATTTCTAGGTCACAAAACACGTTCGCGAGAGAAAACCTTTTTCCCCCGCGATGGAGAAACTAAAACTCCAATAATTTTGTAAAAAGTTTGCTTTCGAAAAGAAATGCGCTGCAGCGGTTATTGACGCGGAGAAATGAATTTTCCGAATGCATAAATAAAACCGTGGAAGTTTATTAGCGTGCGTTATTTGGAAAATTCGAAGCATGAAAATATAATGACCTCGATAGAGGAAAGGAAGGGCTCTCGAGTACTGAAGTTATAAACGTTATTTGCAATAACTTTATGATATTTTCAAAAACATAGTATAAATTAGAAATTGAGTTAACTTTTTTCATCGGAAATGCTGGAGGATTTATTGAAGCGTAGAATGAATTTGATGAAAGCACTGCAGAAAACTGTGAAAACTATATCAGCACGATTATTTCAAAATATTGAGGCACGAGAATACAATTATCCCGACAAAGTAACAGCGTCTGCAAACAGTGCTAATATACTTGTTCGTCAACGATTTTCAGGATTATTTTGCAAACAAGACTGCGCGAATTAATTAAAAATCGCAGATGCACTTTGAAGAGCAGATCAAATATTTTCATATGTGCGATGAAATTGCACGCGAAGAAGAGAACGAGTAGCGCTAATTAAAATGAAGAGACGTAGTGTGGAAATATGAAAAACCTCTCTCTGCTAATGAAAACCGCACGCGGATGAAACAGAAAAGAAATGTCTTTCAAGCAGAAAATAATGCTGGAGTCCAAGCAAGGATCGGGACCAGTCAGACGGGGACAAACCTGAAATGAAAAGGACTGACCGCGTGCAAGAGCGTGGTAGGTTCGTAGATGATGCTAGCAGGGTGAGCGGGCGACTGATGTATGTGAGGGTGCTGCGACTGCGAGTGGTAGAGGGCGGTGGTCGCGAGGTCGACCTGGTAGAGCTGCTGTTCGCCGCGCGGCGGCTGGTAAACCGTCATCTCCTGGATGTCGCTGGCTGGATGCTCGATGACGCTCTGCGGCCCAATCGCCACGCTCGGCGGCGCCAGTGGTGGCAGCGAGCGCGACAACTCCAACAAGTCGTGCGCCGCTTCCGTCTCCGCCGCCGACCTGACGCGCAAACATATTGGTAGTCGATTAATGCCGGCCCATTGAGAACGCTTAGCGGCCAGTCAACCGTCGGTCAGTTTCCATTTCCAAACTCGTCTCGTTTGCCGCGCAGTCGGCGACGGCAGCAATGAACGCAAGAGGCCGTTGCCGTGTTCGCGGGCACGTACAATTATTCGCATGCGACCGCGACGTCGTCAAGTCCGTGCTGTACATACATCATAAAAATACCGAGCTTACACGTCAACTAAAGTCGTCTCTGTGGCTCGTAGCTATAGTTTCAACGATAAAACTTGGCCGGTCTAATTTTAAGAAGTAAGGGGTGAGCGAGGAACGAAGGGCTTGCGCAATTACGACGTAGGCTGGCGAAGAGGGAGAAATGGAAATAGAAAGAGACCTGTCTCTGAAGATCGGCACGGTGTCATTGCTGGGCGGCGCGATGCAGGTTGATCGCTGAGGCGGCGGTGGTATGAACTGCAGGCTGGCGCTACTGCTGGGCGGTTCGCTGCCAGCCTCGTAGCTGTGGATCGCGCTAGCCTTGGACTGCTTCGGCCGCGAGAACGCCGACTTGGCCTGCGGCTGTTCTATCGATCTCGGTGGGCGCTCCGGCGAGCGTTTTGCATCCCTCCTCGGCGGCGAGCTGCGCCTTATGATGCTCGTCGCGCTGCTGCAATTCGCGCTGGCGTCGGGGCCGCTGGTGCCGTTGCTCTTGCCCGCGTTGCCGCCAGCGCCGTTGCCGTTGCCGCTGCTCAGGCTCACCGTCGACACTATCACCGGCACGTGCTCTTTCGTGCGGGACAGGCCTGACGTGGGCGACAGATCCGACTGCTTCGGCGAGTAATCGTGCACTGCAAGGACACGCCACGTCGACGCTTTCGTAAAATCGTTCGATCTTCGACCTCCCGTTCTCGCTGGCCCAAACGCCCGTGCATTAAAACTCGATTATGCACGACGCTTATTGCTCACTCGCACGATCAAGCTGACGGGCGCAGCGCTTTGCGGCAAGCTTTTCTCGTTGCCCTTTCGCGTTGCACGAGACTCGGCTATTATTCGCCGACAGCGTACTCTCGGCGTATCGACCAACCGGGCTTTGCTTACCACTACTCGATTCGGTTCGAAGACAAGCTCGTATTTCTGCGCGATTTTTCACGATTACACAAACAAGTTCCGATTTCCGCCGGGAATTTCACGAGCATTCACGAGAACGCGCGCGCTCTAAATATTCAGCGTCGTGTGTGTGCGGCCAAAACTAATATGCGCGACCTACAACGGTTAACACATTAAAGAGCTTGATTGAAAACTAATTGGTAATTTACTCGATGATAGTTTCGGTTAGAGGAGGTCAAAATTGCAATATGCGCCAACCTTAACCTAGATAATTTTGGATATAGACGCGTTAATCGCGTCCAGTCGATCCGTTTGTCGTATGTTATTTATTTGTTTACTGCTTCTGTTAACCATTGTTGCGTGCAAATCAACCGAGTACACGTCGATTTGAAAGCATGCTCTCGACCTACTCGCTACTTCAAGTAGATGAGTCCGCGTTCGATCAGACAAAGCTGAAAAGCTGGCGTGTGCACGAACTGAAAAGGCGAAATAACCTCCAAAAGGCGCATCTGGGCTCGACCGAGCGGAAAAACAGGTGTCAGCTGGCTTCGGAAAAAGAGTACGAATGTCTCACCCGAGGCGACCGGCGAGGCATATCTGGGTTTCGGCGCCGGCAGCTTGGTTTTCTCCGGCTGCTGCTGCTGCTGCTGACGCGCGGTCGCCGGGGCTGAGGGCGGCGGCGGGGGCGGCGGCGGCGCCGGCTGCTGCCGCTGCTGCTCAATGGGCGGCAGCAGGGGCGGCGTCGGGCTCCGGCATCGTACGCCCCAATCCTCGAATCCTCTGGCCACGCTGTTGATGTACTTGTTGCACAGCGCCTTCTTCACCATGTAACAGCGCGGCATCTTCGTTGCTGCTGCTGCTGCTGCTGCTGCTGCTGCTGCTGCTGCTGCTGCTCCTGTCCGTGAGTTGCTCAGAGCGCCGAGCGCGAGCTCATGTCTGTCTTGCTGCTCGTGCGCCCGTCGTGTGGCGGAGAGCGTGCGCCGCTGGTGCTGGCAGCGGCGGCTTCGAGTGACAGTCGAAAAGCGCCCAGCTTGTCGACTCTCGGCAATTTCCTGCGCGTGTGCTCGCTTGTCTGCGCGTGTAGCACATGTACGCGTGCAGCACGCCGGGGGAGTTTCGCGCGTACGTACGTGACTGCGCGCGCGCTGTGTGCGGAGTGTGTGTGTGCGTTGATATACCTTGTCGTAGTATTGCTTCGTTGTAGACGAGGAGGGCTGAGAGCTTGGTCGATCAATCCATAATGCGATCGCGGCGGAGTCTAGAGGCGAGCCAGCAGTGGTCGGTCGGTCGGACACTGCCGCGTATAGAGCCCCGGACAGTGCAGCTGCGACAAGCGCGCACAACAGCACACGACACGCGCACGCGGACTTGCGGATGGTATTCTCCGCGGCTGCTAATATCGATTGGCTATATTTAACAAAGTCTGGAACGCTGCAGGTGCATCGCCGCAGCGGCCTAGGGCCTGGCCGCCGCGAGCCGCCGCGGGCCTGGGCCGCGACTCGCCTGGCCGGCTAGCCCCATGCTGCCGCTCCAGCACTAGGAGCAGCGCGCGCCAACAGCTCGCTGCCGTCTTTCTCTTGGGAGCAACAAGTTGGACACAACAGGTCCGCTGCTGCTGCTGCTGCAGAGAGCGTACTCGCGACGCGCGACCGCGGCGCGGCGACGAGGAGGAGCGGAACACGCGCGAGCAGCGCTGGAACGGCGGTCGATAGCGACGACGCTGCCCGCCGGCCAGCCACGCGCGCCGCCGTTTGCCGCTCGCTGGCTCGGCCCTTCTGGAACTCCGGAGCTCGACTGCTCGCCGAGCCGGGCACCGCCACTGCTGGGCGCCTCCTTGGCGAGCACTTTGTCGAACTGCAGCGCGCACAGGCCGAGAGGCGACGAGAGCAGTGGCGCCGAGATGAGCCGGGCCGAGGTAGCGTGCGGGGAAGATGGGGCAGCAGCGGACAGAGACAGCGAGAGAGTGGAGCAGAGGGCGAGTGCGGGGACGGAGGGCCAGAAGAAGAAGGCGGCAGAGGAAGAGGAGGAGCAGAGAAGAAGAAGAAGAAGAAGAAGAAGGAGAAGAAGAAGCGAGTACCACCTGTGGGCGCGCAGAAGCAACAATTGTCCGCCGTATGCGGGAGGGTAGAGAGCGCGACTACATGGTTCGTGATACCGGGTGTGGCTGGGGTGCGACTGTCGGCAACGCTGGCGGTGCACCTTGCACGGGACGACGCCGCCGCCACGCTCGCCCCTCCACTTGGCCGCCGCTCATTCTGTGTCTCCGCTGCCGCCGCCGCCGCCGTCGCCGCCGCCGCCGCCGCGGCAAGCTACTGCGGCGCTCGCATCGATTTTCACCAGGACCAACACCTGTTACCGCCAGCAGCGCCCCGCCAGCACTAGCCGCCCTCCCGCGCAATCGATAACACCACCCGCCCCGGAGATAAAGCTGCTGGCCTGGCGACGCCACTACCGCCGCGCCGTCTTCCTTTTCCTCTCTGCAAGCGCATCGACTAGTCCGCGCGCGCGGCTCGCAGCTTCTTCCTTTCGAGCACCACAACGCGTCTTGCGTAAAGCTCCCTTGCTGCCCCCCCCCCCTCCTTAGCACGCTAATTGAACTGTCACCGGCACTCGATCACCGCTTACAACTTTCTTCGTTACTGTACTTCCGGAACTGCGAGGGCCGCGGCCGCCGTTTATTAATGTGTCGTCGACGACGCTAGCAAGGTTTTTACCTAATTAGCTCACCCTATTACCAGCGCCAAATTACATCCTCCTCCAGCAGGCTCCGCTCCGAATATTTTGCAGGCTAATTGCCAGATATTAAATATTTCATATGCTTTCAGCCAGCTAGCCAGTTTCCCTTTCACGATTTTACGCGTGCAATTATTATTTTTTCCTTTCTTCGACCCCCCCCCCCCCCCCCCCCGCCTATCCACCCATATCCACGAGCTTCGTAACCCCCGCACTGCATATTCGTATTGATTTTTCCAATTGTGCATTTCAATCAAATTTAATTATTCTGTCATTACACAACTTTTATTTGAAATTGAAAAAATTTATATCCTTTATTTGTTCCACAATGGTACTTGCGCACTTTTGTGGATTTGTATTTGCGAATTCGGCCGAGAGATAAATGCAAATGAAAAAGCGAATCAATGTTGTTGTCCAGAGCTGTTCGAGAAGAAAGGCAGGCGCAAAGTTCAACAAGTATAAAGAAGGAATAATAGAAGATTGTGTCGACACGGGCGTACAAGTAGTAGAGCTCAAGCTTAAGTTAGACAGGTTTCCGTGCTAAAGCGTATATGTGTATATAGCTAGCTACTGCCGCGTATTATTCAGTCAAGCTCCTTTTTCTTTCAACTTTCTTAAAAGATAAGAGGTCATTTATTTTAATTAGAGAATTTCTCATACTTTAAACGGGTGTAACGGGGCACTGTAGATCTTTTTCTCCTTTCGAGACGAAAACTCTAGATAGGAAAAAAGGTACAGTATGAGACGGCTTAACAGCTTAATTGAAGCTTGAAACAATGTTTTTACTTTTTCAAACAAAAGGGTTTTGTAGTTTTGCTGTCCAAACTCGCTCTATTTATATTTTTTTAATCATTTCTTTGTTGCCAAAAAAATAATATCCATTTTTGCTTAATTGTTTTTCCATTTATTTTTATTCTATACGCAATGCAGATAGGACACATTTTTGTTATTACTAAAACAAATTGCTTAAAAAAGAGAAATGTGTCGTGTATAAAAAACCTTCGAAACATTGATATTTGAAGACTGACGCAGTATATTTTTAAATTTCGATAAAAATAGTCTCCACGGAGGCAACTTTCAACAAGATCGATCAAACAGGTGTGCGCTAAGAACTTCCGGGGACGAGGTGGAAAAAAAAAATTGGAAAAAAAAAATTGGAAAAAAAAGTCGAACACAGTATTAGCTTTATCGCGAAATTAACATAAATCTTGTTTCTGAAGAAAAATTGGTTATTTTTGAATAAATTTTATCGCAAGATAAGAAACTTTTAATAATCAAGGATAATTAGTTCGACTTGAAGAAATAGATTTATTAGCGGCGGTGATAACGAAAACTGCCTGATAAAAGTGGTTTATTCGGAGGAAAAAGCCTTCGAGCTAGAGGGAGCAAGTTGTTGAATAACGACTTTGCATAGTTGGAGCATAAGATGGCGGGACGGGCGTGCGGGACGGGCGTCTGGACGCGCAGGAGCTTAGCTTCCGGGCGAAGCTCGAGTCGTCGCTATTTTTTTTTTTTTTAAATTCCGCGCAAAATGGTGTAATTGCTCGAGACACGACAATTCGCGCTGACAAAGGCGCTCGTGGCCGGCGAAAAAAGAAGCAAAAAAGATCGCTCTCGCTCGCTTGCTCGAGAGAGACAGAGAGCAACAATGAGAGCGCGCAGGCTCTGACGGGGTGGTGGCGCTGCTTAAAAAAAAAAAAAAGGGGTGAAATTCCGCATTCTAGTGGCCGCGCGGAGAGGAGCGAGTGGTTGCTGGGCAACCCCGCCGGTTCGCGCGCGTGGAAAACAATCGCGGCCTGCTATATGCGCGGCGACAGCCACGACGGCCTGGCGTCGCGATGCTGCTGCTGACGCTGTTACTTTTATCTCGGGAATCGAAGTAGCTAGACGACAGACAAAGCACGTGTCTGTCGATGATTTCTTTTTTGCTCTCCCTGCCCATACCGTTTGCTCTACGACGCGCTACACTCGGCGTTCGCGCGAAAATTCGACTCCCAGCTAACATTTGCCTCGTGCTGCGTCAACAATCGCTTAGCAAATAAACACCTCCGAATGGGCATGCTTCTCCTTTGCCATTCGGAGGGACTTGCTGCTGAAGGCAGGGAAATGGGGGAGCGTATATGTTTTCTTTCTTCTCCCCCTTTGGCGACGCGTGGGCGCGGATTTTTCTAGCGCGTGCATGGCAGAGGGCAGGAAGAGAGATTTGTATTGTCAGTGCTGCCAACGCGGAACTCTTTTTGTACGTGGCATTTAAAACGAATATCACGTTATTGTTTGAATTCCGTGACCGATGACGCTAGTAAATCAACGAGTGAGACGTCACCGAAAAGTGATCAAGAGTTTTGTTGACGACTGATTATCATTTGTCATTTTTTGCTAATTGATGCAGTCATAAGGAAAAACGAGTGGTCTGCAAACAGACATTGCTGAACGTTTACCGTGGGGCACGAGCATGAGACAGTATCGTTCACTGAATATTTCGCTGAGCCCGTTTGCTAACTACTCTTATGACATCGCTTGTCATAAGAGTCACAGTTGACTCGATTAAAGAGCTCGTTCAATTCAGTTGATTGCTTCGGTTGTTGTTGTTTCGGTAATTCCCAAAAATAGAAATGGTTCGTTGAAACATCCGTTAAAACTATTATTTATGCTATCGATGGAATTTCGTGCAGCCGCAGATCGTGCTCTACTTTCGACTTTGACGTTAAGCCCGTTGATAGCGACGTGACACAAACAGCTCAAAAAGTAAAAGCGTTCAAGAGTAGCAGCGCGAGGGACTGACATTCGTGCAATGGAAAAGCGCAACGCTTAAACTTTATTGACGCGTCGCGTCCTGAAAGCACGTTTTTTTTTGTTGCTTTTTTCCCAACGCGTTTCCACGTCATCGCGAGAACCACGCCAGAGATACCTATTTGACCATCTTTGCGATAATTCGAAATGCTGGTTAATAAATATTGGTAAAGTCATTGGCGGAAGCACCACGAAAGGAAGTGATACATTCGATTGCTTCAGCTAAACGCAATAATGAGAAGCACTTAGATGGTATTACTACGCACGTTTTGAACGCATTAATCCGGCTTTTGCTTGGCTACACTACAGCTACCGCCAGCGCAGAGAGCACAAATAATTTAATTTGTGCAGTTAGCGCAAGGGGGGCGAGAATCGTTTTATATATCGGCGGACGCGTGTGCATGCGTGTATGTGCTTTCAAAAAGAACGAAAATAACATTATACGATAAAGCTCTGCGTCGCTATTCAGATTTTAAGCGCGTATATCATACCTGCCTTATCCACCGTAAAAAGTTTATTCGGAAATTAATTAAAAAATGTTTGCTGTAAATCCTGATGAAATTCGAAGTGCGCGTTAACGTAAAAAAATTAATAAAATAAAATTTTGAGTTGGTCGCTTGTTCTTCGCAAGTATCGTGTGCTGCTGCTCTGTATTCTCGATATTTCGACGGAAATCATTCGTCGCCTCCATTGTCAATTCCTTTATGCGATGTTACAAGGCATCTCGCGAGTAGCCATTTCAATACTCAAAAGTATTGGATACTGAACAAGCTCAAATTCGCGTTTGAGTAGAAAGCATTAGAAGCTTTATTTTCTGATCGGAGTACTCGCATACATGTGCGTGTTCCTCCAAAGGTTGTTACACGCATAATTATACGTTCGGGCACAGGCTACTGTTTCGGAAGCATTTTCCAGCCTCGAGGGTCAAAAAAAGACACTAAGATATACATGCCGGCGTCGTTGAAAAAAGTGAGCAACGCGCA